TGCCAAAGCGAGCACAAACCTTTTCTTTATATTGAAATAGTGATTCCAGGCTCCCAGAAGGCTAGCCCATCCCAAACCCCAGACTTCTTGGGGGGTTTCTCCAGCCTCCGCCTGGAGTCCAAGGACAGTTCTTCCCACTGAGGGAGCTCCTCCAGACGTCCCCAAGCCAAAATCTGGGCCTAGAACCAGGAAGACATCTACTGCCCTGTCCTCTGTTTTAAACAAACACTTCTCAGGATCATTAACAAAGGGAATGCCATTCCTTCAGGTGGAAGCTCTAGCCCCACTTACCAGATGTGCTCTTGACCAAGTGGCCCTATTCTGACTTAAGTCCCTTCCACAAGTCTGGATTATTCTGATCTAACCTTGTTTCCACTGTAATAGCTGGATATTTTTTTTTTTTTAAATGGGTTGTTGGTTAACTTTTTATTTTGAACTAATTGTAGATTGATATGAAGTTGCAAAAGTAGTACAAAGAGTCCCTTCTGGCAGTTTCCCCAGTACTGACATGTTACACAACTGCAGTCGACATCAAAATGAGTACAAAGCTATGGGCTACAGACCACAGACCTTATTCGGTTTTCACCATTTTTTGCATGTATTTATTTGTGTGTGTATGTATTTTCAGGATTTTGTTTCCTTCTTCTAGAGGCAGAACCTTCCATAGGCTGCCCCCCGCCCAACATACACACAAATACAAAGTCACATGTAAAAGCTCATTCTACAAAACATAAAAATGGCTCTTCTGATGACAACCCCCTCCCTGTCCCAAGCTTTAGCTACTTCTTTTTGAACCACTGTACCAAAGTCGAGATTTTGCATTTATTTGCTTGGTGATTTGATTCAAGTTGGTCTTACTAGACTGTAAACTATGAGTTTGAGAACCATTGTTTTTCTTTGCTCATCACTTATCTGCATATGCCTAGCTTCCAAGGTGGCCCCAAGTAGTTCTTTCCTCCTGCAATTCACACCCCTTTGTATGTCATCCCTTTCCATACTGAGTAGAGATAGAGTTCCAGATTAATACTAGATAGATGGTTAAACTTAAATTTCAGATAAAACAATGAATGACTTCTTAGTATTTTACAATATTTCATGGGACATACACTAAAATCGCATTTGTCGTTTCACTGAAATTCACATTGAACTAGGCAGCCTGTATTTTTATTTGCTAAATCTGGTAACTCTATTAAATAGGGCTGACCATGTGACTAATCAGATATTGGGGAAATAACAGTGTATGACTTCTGAGACTAGATCATAAAAAGACTGGTGGTTCTGTCCTTCTCTCTTGATTCAACTCATCCTCAGGGAGGCCAGTCACTATGTCATGAGGACACTCAACAGTCTTAGGTAGAAGTTCACGTAGCAAGAAACTGAGGCCTCCTGCCCACAACCAGCACCAGCCTGCCAGCCATGTGAGTGAGTCACCTAGAACTCACTCCAGTTCCAGTCAAGCTTGTAGATGACTGCAGTCCCAGCTGACATCTTGACTGCAGTCCCAAGGAAGACCCCAAGTCAGAACAAGCCAGCGGAGCCGCTCTTGAATTCCCGCCCAAAGAAATTGTGTGATAATATTCACTGTTGTTTCCAGCTCTCGATTTGAAGGTAATTGTTAAACTGCAATAGATGATACATAGGAACTTACTAAATATGTGTTAGTGACTCAGTGAGTGAATGAATGAATGATGAAGGTTGAATGAATAAATGAATGATGAAGGCTGTGGTTCCTCACCTCACCTGTGTCTTGAGGATGCTTGCCTTACAGATGTCTCAGGCCTGTGGAACCTCATGTCCCACCCTTCTATATAACAATAGTGTTCACAAGTTCTTGAAAGGATAGAAACCATCTATAAGAAACATTTAAAGGGAAACAAAACTTGTTAATCTCAGTTGATCCAGATTTTCAATTCAGGACATGATGTATATTTTTGTGGCAAGATCCAAAATAAGAATAAGCCATGTACAACTGTATAATGTCACTGTCCTAGAAAAGGTACTTGTGCTAGACTTTAAATATATCAGCTTTGAAATACCACTTACAGATTGTTTCTATGGTATCAATCTATTTAAAGTTGTAACTGAGCAAGAATTTTCCCCCAAAATCTTTTGAAGGCAATGTGGGAACAGAGTTATATAGCACAGGCTGCAAAAAGGAGTGATTAGGAGTGTGGACTTAGGTGATAATAGAAACGACCTCAGAAGGTTGAGGAGTCTAAGAAATAATGTATTCAGAGGGTTTGTTTTTGTGACTCTGAGCAGATAGGAATCACTCTAGAAGCATTAGTTCAAATAAGTAGGCAGTGATGATGAGGGGGGCCCCACGTGTGGTACAGCAGAGAAAGTATTGCCCTGGAAATCTGAAGTCCTGGATTCCAGGCCTAGCTCTGTCCTTAAACTTACTGTGTAACCCTGGGCACATTCCTTGTGACATGGCCTCCTCCATTGCCTCAGCTGTAAAAAGGGAGGAGTGAACTGATGAGTGTCCGAGAGTCCTGCTAGGCTCCTGCTGAGGAGCCTTGTTGCCTGGCAACCTCTTCTGGGAAGGTTACATGTCTGAGTACCTCATTGGGAATCTAAACACGGGCCTAGATGTCCCTGAGTCCCAAAGCAAGGGTTTTTCTGGACAGTGACAGGAGACCAGGACGGATATGAAATCCTGAATCTAAATCTCTGTCTGCTTCTCTCCTTGCTTTTCCTGAGTCTGGGCATTTGAACCCAGAAATCGTGAAAAACCATTAACCTTTGAGGCTGAGAGACCCTCCATGCAAATGTATGAGCTTGGGTCTTTTACATGAAAAATAGTTACAACCATGTACGAAGCTCTTACTATGCCAGGATTTACATGCATTAATTAGTCCCTACCTCTGCCTTTTTTTAGGTGGGGGGAAGGGGTGTCTTGAAAACAACCCTTTTAGAGCAGTGCTGTTATTATCCTCATTTTACAGATGAAAAACTTAGGTCCCAAACCTAGGAAGCAGCAAAATAGAGATTGGGATCCTTGAAGTTTTATTCCAGAAACTTCATTAAAAAAAAAATTCTAAGTCCATTAAAAAAAAGACTTTTTTTTCTTAATCATTTAAGATTGTTTCCTGTTGATGCCTTACCATCCACAAATACTTTAGTATTTCCAAAAAACACATTCTCCAATGTAATCACAGGACAACCATCAAAATCAGGAAATTAACATGGATACATCACTACCATGGAAACCTCAAATCCCATTTAAATTTTACCAGTTGTCCCAAAAACTTCCTTTACAGCAAAAAGATCCAGTTCAGAATCATATGATTGCATTTAATCATCATGCCTCTTAACTCTTCTTCATTCTGGAACTGCAGTCTTTCTTTGACGTCCACGATCTTGGCACTTTTGAAGAGTACAGACTAGTTGTTTTGTAGAATGTCTCTTTATTTGGGTTTGTCTGATTTGGTTCAGGGTGTGCAGGAATATCACAGAAGCAATGCTGTGATCTGCTCAGGGTATCACATCAAGTGGTACGTGATTTCTATTGGTTCCATTCTTAAGGATACACTCTGATCACTTGATCATAGCCTACATTCTTAATGACTCCACAACAGTCCACTAAGTTCTCTTCTCCAGAAGCCACATGGTGGGGTTCATTTGGTGAAGCAAATCCATCAGTCCCTCATGATCAAAATAACTGCAGCTCTACAAAGTTGGCTGTAAAGCTATAGACAGAGCTACAGAGAAGCCAAGCTAAGCTTGCTTATATTTTTGGCTTTGGGTCATAAATAGATGCATATACATTTTCAGGCCCAGACTCAAAATGGTTTATGTCATCTTGTTTCCATCACTCTGCCCCTTGATGGAACTTTTAGTCTGTCAGACTCTCTCCCCATGGCCTTCTCTACTAAAACCTCACTTTCTAGTTTCTTTCTTGAAAACATACTTTGTGTTAGGCACAGTAACACTATATGTCACTGGGGATACTAAGACCATTAAATCACAGTCCCTATTCCCAAGAAGCCGACTTTTAATTGACTTCATGTTCATGTAGTTTCTCATTTAATTACTAACAACCATGGGAGGTTAGACTGAAGTCCTTTGACTCTAAGTACAGTGCTCTTTGTTCACTCCAATAATTGTCTCTTGGATCTTTCTATCGTAGGGAGGAGAAAAAGAGAGAACATAAGCAAACATTAACAGCTAACACTTCCTAAGCACCTACTATGTACTTATATGGCTTATATATTTTATCTCATTGGATCTTCAACTATTTTGCAGAAGAGAAAACTAAGGCTTAGAGAGATGTAGTGACTTACTCAAGGTCCACAGTTGATAAGTGGTAGAGCTAAGATTAGAACTCCAGGGCCCTTGTGCCTACACAGAATTCAGAGCTAATGAGGGATACCCTGGGAGAGCCGGCGCTTGTTTTGTTTATTGCGTGCTCTGAACCGAGTGCAGTGTAGGCACTCAGTATATTTTTATTAGGTTAGCGAATGAATGAAATTTATTTACAACATGTTGGAAATAAAGAGAATGGAAAGATTTCCTGGAGGGAATACCTGGGACCGCTAGAATTTGCCCATTCATTCCTTCACTCCCTAAGACACCTAGATAAGGCAATTGCTCTGGGCCTACACGATACTTATACTGAGACCCCAAAGATTCAGGATATGGTATTGGCCATCATTATTCTAAGAATGCCGCATCCCAGCCCCCTTAATGTGTCTCACGATTCTTCAGAACTATTTTATGAGCTAGTCTTATATCATATACCCATTTTACAGATTTAGAATTCCACCGCTGACAAAGGAGCCCGCAGAGGTGACTCGGCGACGTCCACACTAGTCATTACAGGCTGGGCGTCGCCATGAAGCGGGCTCGGCAGGGAGGCCGGCAGGGCCAGGATATCACCCTCACAGCCATTCAGGGCCCTGAAAATCCGCCTGTCCTTTCAAGCATCTCAGCCCGCGGCTTTAGAGGCAGAACCGCTCAAGCGTTCCATTGCTCCCACGGCAACCAGCGCACATTTCCACTGTCGAAAAACGTCATTTCCGGCGCGCCGGTCCCGGCACATCCGGGGTCCGACCGCCTGAGCTGCTCTTCTCTCGCACTGAGTGGGACCCTGACCTTAGGACGCTGGACGCGGGCGAGGTGAGCCGGGGAGTGGAAGGGGACCGGGGAGCTCCGTACCGGGGGGAGTGGGTGCGAGGGCCACGGGAGGCAGGCCTCGGCCTCGCCGGTGTGGGCTTCCATTTCGCAGACAGCTCTGCCGAGGCAGAGAGAGAGAGAGGCGGGCCCGCTCGGGGTTACGGAGGAGTCGGGGGGCCTGGGTCGAGTTGGGAACCGAAACCTGGACAGCAGGTAGAGAGACGCTCGAACCCTGGCTTTAAGCCCACCTAGTGTCGAGCCCTTTTAGATGTGGATAGGGCAAATTGTTTAACTTCTCGGAGCCTCATTTTTCTCGTCTGAAACTAATAGTACCAACCTCGTAGAAGTGTCTTGTTGCTTACGTTAATGATTATCGGCCTAGGCATCCAGCAGGTACTTAGCACCACCTGAAATATCTTTAACTCGCGACAACTCTGTGATTATTACCAGGCCCTGTGCGGAAGAAGGCAGTGGTATTATTGACTCTCATGTATCTGGGACTCTGCAGAACATTTCCCTCCTTTGCACTCCTGCATGGGTTAGGTCTAGCAGCACCCAACCAGTACACCAATGAGTAGAACAAGCAGGGAAAACTATGTAACAGCTGATCAGAGTTTGACATTGCCTGTGGAGATAGTAAACAAACTCCCTGTCTGTGAAGGCTGCTTGCAGCAACTGATAGACCAGAATTACAATTGCTGTCATAAATTGAGTGTATTACCATGTGGTGTTGTGTACTTGGAACTTAATGTGCCTTTAATTCTCATACACTGAGTACCTGGTAAAGTGAGGATTCGAATTCGAGCTGTGATTTTAGCAGCTGATTTCACAATCACTTTGCTAAAGTTCACTCCCTAGTCCAGTAATTGTAATGTGGATGAACCTAATCATGTGACTACAGTAACAGCCATTGTTCCTTGAACACTTATTCTGAGTTCAATGTTTTTTGCATGCCATCTCATTAACTCTGCCTTGCAAGTATTCTTTAAGGCTGATGTGGTAGTTAATGCATTTAAGAAAGAAACAGCTGAATTTCATCACCCAGCTAGCAGGAGCTGAATTTTCTATTCTATTCAATAGATGTTTAACTGTTAGGTAGTGTTCATAATCACTACTGTCTTCCAGCCATCAGAAGAGGTTCGCATTTGGGAAGGAAAACTAAGTCTTAAGGCCTCATCAAGTAATGCATTTCAGAAAGCATATTCTAAAGAAATCACTTCCTGGGACTGCCAAGGGTCCAGATATAACTTCTCTCAACAATAGAAAAAAAGTAATAAATTGTTGAGTCTGGGAATGATGTCTACACAATTTCTGAGGCAATAATATATAGAATAACTTAGTTTTTTTTTGTGGTTTGTGTGTGTTTGTGAGAGGTTTTATGACACTGATAAGGCAAGGAAATACGTGCTTTAGAATCACATAGACTGTAGGGACTAATCGTTTGTCCCACTGTTTTTGTACTGATATCCAAAAATATATTTTTAATGGCTGCTTTTTTGAATTATAACTGATTTGAATGGACTTGAAGTTTGGAGGAAGTTCCGAAGGTAGCAAAGAGTAGGAACTCACAAGGAAGCCTTCTTGCCACTCTCAAGACTTATCAGAGACTGTGCCTTTTTTGTGTCTTCCTTTAGTGACTGGCCATGTCACTGTCCCACCTGTACCGGGACGGGGAAGGCCACATGGATGATGACGAGGATGAGCGGGAGAACTTTGAGATCACAGACTGGGATCTGCAGAATGAGTTCAACCCCAACCGGCAGCGCCACTGGCAGACGAAGGAAGAGGCCACCTATGGAGTGTGGGCAGAACGAGACTCAGATGAAGAGAGGCCCAGCTTTGGAGGCAAACGGTACTGGCTTGCATGGAGTGGCTTCCCCTTGCTTTTGGGAATGGATTGGGGTAGATGGAGAGGGAATTGGGGAGATACCCACTAAATATACTTCTCTCTAGCCTTACTGAGTCCCTTGGCTGTGACATCAGTTAGGGAGTATCAGTTTCCTCTTTAGGCTAAAGTGTTCTTTCACTGATTTGATCGTCAGTTGTGTTTATTGAGCAATTATATAGGGCCTTATGTAGACCCAGTCCTTGCCAAGAGCCCAGTCCCTAGTGGATGGAGTTAGGCATTAATCAACAGCTCACCCAATGGAAGTTGGTAACTGTGATTTAGGGCCTGAGGGAGAGCTCATTTCAGGGTGTTTGACCTATTCTGGAGGTTAGGGAAGATTTCTTTGGAGAAGTGCCCCTTGAGCCGATATGAAAATAGAAGGTTACTAAGGTGGTAGGAGAGGCATGAGTATGCAAAGACCCTTGATGGGAAGCAACAGGGTATCCATCAGGATCTGAATAATTTTGCAGGTTGATGTGGCAAGAGGGAGGGGAGCAGAGCGTAGTTTGAGAAGAGGCCCATGGCTCTTTATGGAGAGGATATGACCTGGGGCAGGGTTACATTTGGAGAAGACCTTTTTGCTGATGTGCAGAATCAGCATGGAGCTCTGTGGGGAGGCCAAGGCACCAGTCCTTGCAGAGGTGGTGGAGGCCTGGGCTAGGTTGGTGGTAGGGAGGTAAGGATTGAGGCTAAAAGCTCTTCAGTGTGAAGTTATGTGTGTGGGGGCTGCAACCTGCTTATCTAGAGTGTGTAGCAGGTTTGGGTTTGTCTCCCTGTCCTTATCCGTGGTTTGTGGGCCCGTTGAGGTTGTGCCTTTTTCACAAAGGAGGCTGAAAAGAAAGAGAGTAGTTCAATCTCTTCTCATCTGGCAAAGAACTCTAAAAGTGGATGATAAATAGATCAGGGTCAAGAACTGCATAATCATGAGCTAATTAGAGCAGCCATCATCTATTGGCTGCTTCCTTGTTCTGGGTTTTTCACATGCCTGGTCTCATTTGCCTTATGAGAAAGGTACCATTATCATCATCTCATACTGATTAAGAAACTGCGGCCAAAGGCCATACAGCTAGGCTTTAAGAACCCTGGCCTAGCTGACTGTAGAGTTTTGGGCTCTTAACCAATAAGTTATATTGCATCTTTTAGGAAAGAGTTTCCTCAATTTTATTGCCTCCATGGGGATGTTTAATTACTAGGTTTGTCATTTTATAAAGCATCACTTCATTTTGCAGTATTCCCAGGGTTTTTCACTGGAACCTTTTCGCTGTGTTCCTTTAACCACACAATACAAAGGTGTTGGCTTCAGTTTATACAAAAGGGTCTGTGGTTAATGTGGTTAATGACTTAAGTACACTCCTGAAACAATCAGTTAAAATCAATACTTTCCATCTTACAGGGTTAATGTCTTAGGTATTTTAGTTTTTATATACAAACTAATGGACATGAACTTTTTCTTAGAGTTTGATATAATCGTCAGTATACTTGCTATTTATATAATCTCTTATGATGTTTATGATTTTGTCAGAATTTCTTTTCTTGTTTGATTTTTGTACTTGAAATAGTGTCCAAAAGAAATGCTTTTTGAATTAAGTTAATTTTAAAAAATGTAAAAGGAAAGCGGGATTATCATAACATACTTTGAATTTTTAATCGACTCTACACTGATACTGATACTGATAGCTCTTCAGCCGTAGAGCTGACTCGAACACATCAGGTAAAAAAGTTAAATGTGATGCCAGATCTGAGGCCCTTTTAATATAAGTAAATGTGTTGTTCTTTTAACATGGATCCCATGAACTCTAAGGAGTTCTCTGGCCGGCAAAGTTTCTACAGGGGATGGCTGCAGACGAGTTCTTTACAGACCACTCCATGGGGCATTGTGTTTACCTGCAGGGCCCGTGACTACTCCGCTCCAGTCAACTTCATCAGTGCCGGGCTCAAGAAAGGGGCAGCAGAGGAGGCGGAGCTGGAAGATTCTGATGATGAAGAGAAACCTGCTAAGCAGGATGAATTTCCTAAGGATTTCGGACCAAAGAAGTTGAAAACGGTAACATCTTTATCAAAGGACTGTGACCTTAGTAATATCCTTAGAAGGTCATTGTGGCCAAGTATCTCCTAGCAAGTGGGGGTCTCAGCTGGAGGCCAGCTGTGTGGGTTGCTCCTTGTGGTGGCTGGTTCTGCAAGACGTGAAGTGTGTGATGCAGTCTCTTTTCTTTCCTAACACATCATGGACATATTTTGGGTTTATATGAAACTCTTCATAGTGCTGTGTGACTGCCCGGACATTTTCTCATCAGCCAAGCTGTCTTTCTTAGAATTTTCTTCTTTTTCCAATCAACTATGCTTTGATTTTTTTTTTTTTTCAGGGTGGCAATTTTAAACCCAGCCAGAAAGGTTTTGCAGGAGGAACCAAATCTTTCATGGATTTTGGCAGCTGGGAAAGACATACAAAAGGAATTGGACAGAAGCTTCTTCAGAAGATGGGTTATGTTCCTGGAAGGGGCCTCGGGAAGAATGCACAAGGTAACGGCACCATCAACCTTGTGTCTTGAGCAAGGGAGGCAAGGCAGAGGAAGGAGTGGTTTGGGGAGTGGTCTGCTTTTTCTCCTTTGAAAGTACTTAAACTCTTCAGCCTGATCTGCCAACACAAGACTAGTTGTGCTCCTGAGCTACCTTGCTTTATCAAACTGAGATATAATACTTGTTTGAGCAGGAAGAAGAGGGTTAGGATCTAGAACAGGCTGTAAGCTCATACGTTGAAGACAAGCTTCTTTTGGGCCTGTCCATGTTTCTAAAAAAATTTGAATTCATAGCCAGTATTTAAAAGTCAGACAACCTCAGCTAAAATTCTAGACCTGCCTGACAGTAATTGGTTCAGCTGAATCATTGGCCCCAGGGTAGTGCTCATGGTCTCCTCGAAACGGTCCCCACTCCCTGTCATCCTTTGCCTTAACCCACTTGTTTACATTAATTTTCCTGGGCCCTGAAGGCATGAGAGTTTATAGTTCCTGCTCACAAGGGTTTCAGTTTTGCAAAAACAGCTATCTGTCCTTCAGGAATTTCAATGAAGTATTGTGTGTAGCTTTTTAAAATAGCTAGAGACATTTAGCTATAAACTTGGCCAAGCAAATGCTGTGTTGGTTTCCTTCACCTTTGCTCAGTAGCACTGTCTCCTCTTGTCCTCGCTCCCCTAACCCCATGGAGACACAGCTCCTCTCACACATTGTTATCTTCCTGGTACCAGAGCCACTCACACCAAGCAGTTGCATTCCTCCTGCAGGGAGGTGTTGTCCTGGTTTTTGAGTTATTGCCCATGAGCAGTCACCAACTGGATGTAATCAGTAGTATTCCCTATAATTCAGATTCCACTCCCTACATAATTATCCAGGTTATGTGTTCAAAACATAAGCTGTATGAAAAAAAAAAAAACATACATGAACTGGAGGGAGGATAGAAATGGTGACCAGGAACAAGAAAGGGGAATGTTCTAATTTGAGATTTAAGCAGTACTAACTGGAAGTGAAAGGATGTGGAAAGTTTGGGGTAAGGGAAAATCTTCATTAAAATGTTGTCTTGTTCGTAAACTCATATAAGAAGAACATTTATTTCCAAGGTTTAACCATGTTATAAAACAGGCATAGTTGGGATAAATGTAAAATAGATGGAGTCTCAGTTCACCTTACTTCAGTCAGAATCAATAGATTATCTGAATTACTGTACTTTCCATGTTAAAGGCTTCCAAATGAACAAAGCCTCAAATTTAATGTGCCTGAGTTCCTAGTAATAAATTAACTTTTCTCTTTTCTTCCTGTCCATAACTTAAGAATAAATCCAAGTAGAAACGGAAATCTGTCTTTAGGACATCAATAACCTAATGTTAGCAAACTGTTCTGTGGCTGCATAAATACCCTGAAGTTTCACATCACACAGGACAGTTCTGAACAGTATTGTGAGGGCAGAGAAGAGGTTTCTTGGCTGGGTCACGTGTTATTGTATGTAATGTCCAAGGAAGTGTGATTTCACTGAGTGGCTTATTCAGGTACAAGGATTACTGTGATCTGAATCTCTTTTTTTGCTGAAATTTGACAGGTATCATTAACCCAATCGAAGCCAAACAGAGAAAGGGAAAAGGTGCCGTGGGAGCTTATGGCTCAGAGCGGACCACTCAGTCCCTGCAAGACTTCCCCGTGGTTGACTCTGAAGAAGAAGCCGAAGAGGTAACCAAAAGTTAGGAGGCTGGGTGGTGGTGTCTGTGCCACTTCAGTTAGTTTGTAACTTTGTTCATTCATTCATGTCAGTCTTCAGGTGGTTATGGCATATCCTGTGCCAGACACTGCTGGAGGCTGGGTGTACCGTGACGGACGGCTTAGAGCCTGGTGGACAGAGACAGACAGTAAACAGGCAACTACGATGTGATTAGAAAGAGTAGTGCTAAGAAGTGCCAAGGTAGAAAATAAGATAGGGTGTGCGTGTGTATTTGTGGCAGGGCGGGGGTGACATGCTTTTAATAGGATGGTTAGGGAAGATCTCTTGGAAAGGAGATGTTTCAGTTGACACTGGGCAGAAGAGAGGGCATCAGCCATAGGGAGGGTCAGGAGGCCACAGGATACTGAGAGAAAAGCTGCGAGCTTGATGGTGGAGACATTAAGGAGACAAGGCAGGACCGTAGTATAGCCAAGCAAGGAAGGAAAGGAAGCACCTTGAGAAGTGGGCAGGCCACACTACTTGGTCTTGAAAGCTATTTTAGATGCTAGGGTTTCATCCCAAGTGCGCCAGAGAGCTGTATGCTGTCAACTGTGTATCGCTCTGCTCCAGTGACAGAAGGGGCCAGCTCTCTTGATTGAAATGTTTCTTTTTTTGCATTTATGAAGGAAAGCAGGATGCTGCAAAGACACATGTTTCTGTTCTTGGCAATGACCCTCTCTTTTACTGGGGAAAGAGACATTTGATAATGTGGGGTTGACTACTGAGTCGGGCTCTCAGACTTAGAAGCTAACAAGGGCCAGATACACAATGTAAGTGAGGAAGGCGAGCCTGAGGTGACGCAGCAAGGAGTGGTGGGGCCTGCAGCAGACAGGTGGGAGCATAGCCCATCTAAACGGGTAGTTTCTATTCAGCACTAGGTGATTATTGCCCTGTAGAATGTGGGCTCAACATTGTCTGATTTTCTGCTTTTCCCAAAGAAGTCCAGATTTTATTTATTTTTTTGAGAAAAAATTTGAAGTTTTAAATAAAGGTAAGAAAAACAAAATGGCAACCACAAAACCACTTCTGGGCCAGAATCTACAAACCTCTAACAGTTCCCTCCTTTACTTTAGATCTTCCTTTGGAAAAGTTTTGCAAACCTGATTGTAAAAGATATCTGTGCTTTGAAACTTAGGGACCTGCTTATTTACCTCCCTTTTAAATTAGAGCCAGGATTTTGTGTACTTAAAAAATCCTATATGCTGCATTTCTAAGTTTCACATGACGTAAATTTAAAACTAATTTAGTGCCTGACATAGATGCTCAGTAAATGTTGCCTTTACCTTTGTTTCTTTTTCTAGTTTGGTATACCTGTCTTTTGAACCTCAGTATTTGTAAGAGGGGGAGTGGGTGTCAAGGAGTATCTTTAGTTGGTTTTAGTGTCCCTCAGACACAATCCTTAGCAGAGAACTTTGTGAAAATCTAAGAAGCTATTAAATATTTGTTAGTTAATGGTCTCAGTGGCCCCACCTGCTGTAAAAAGTGGGCTTTCCTGTGACAGACTCTCTCTCTGGTTCAGGAGTTTCAGAAGGAGCTGAGCCAGTGGAGGAAAGACCCCAGCGGAAGCAAGAAGAAACCCAAATACTCTTACAAGACTGTGGAAGAGTTGAAGGCCAAGGGCAGAATTAGCAAGAAGCTTACCACTCCCCAGAGGGAGCTTTCCCAGGTCAAGGTATGTGGGCCCTTGGACACCTTGTCCAGGATGGGGCATTGCAAAACACTAAAATCCTACATCCTGGAGTCAATCACAGAACATTTTCTAAGGTCCCTTTGGGGCTTCTAGCCAGGCTTTTCTCGTTTGATAACAGCATGTTCCCATTCACTGCACTCACACCTTCAGTAAGTTACTGCGTTCTCACTGTGTGCCAGGCACTCTTCACGGTGCTAGAGTGGTAAACAATGCACCCTTCTTTCTGGAGCTGGGAGCCAGTGAATTTAATAATATTTGTGTTATTGAAAACTCTGTGTGAACACTGTCTTTAACAAGTGTGTAACCCGAGAGCGGCTGCACTGTTACAAGGTCCCACCTCTCTCACTAGATCTTTAACTTTCTTTCTGGTTTGGTTTGGGTTTTAGCAAGCTAGTTTTTACATAACGTCTTTGTTTCATTTTTTAAGGATAGATTCTTAGAAATAGAATCACCAGGTGAAAACAGGAAGGTCTCAAAGACCCTTGAATCTAGAAAGGGCACATGAACTTACTCTCTGACCAGGAGTGCAGAGAGAGTCCTCAGGGCACACCAGCACTGAGTATTTTCTTCCTTAAGAATAGATCACATTTTCAGTTATGTGCAGTCTTAGGTTTTCCTTTACTCAGGTAGCCAAAGAACAGTGGTGACAGCTGTCTGTCGAAGTTTGGTGTAGGATGGTGTGCATGTGTCACAAAGCTCAGAGTCATGAGTGGGGTTCTCAACATCGGCGTGTTGTACATCAGATTATCGAGGGGCCAGTAAGAAATGCAGATGTCCAGGTCCCAGCCAGTGGCTGAGTCAGTAGATCTAGACTGGGCCCGAGGACTCCAAGTTTATTTCTCTCCAGGTGATTTTAGACAGTTCTTGGATCACACTCTTAAAGTGATGATAAATAATTGTTTCATTATAGGCCATATTTAGATTTCCTCAGTTTTCTTGAAACATTGGAATTAGCTCATTTCTTAGGTTGCCTTTCTCTAATAACTGGGATTTTTGTATGCTGTGTTTTGTTTTCAAAGTAAAAACAGCTTTTTTAGTAGAGCAGTGTGTAGTACATTTTAGACAGGAAATACAGAGGCAAAAATATAAAAATATATTATTTTCCTTCCTTCCCAAGTTTAACACCTCGATGTGTCCATCCTTTCAGATATTTGCCTAAGTATCCACTATTTAAACCAAAGGTGTTATTTTGATTGTACTCTTTACTAACTGCATTGATTAGTATAGCCTCTACTTTTCCACAAAAATAGATTTCTATCTTAGCTAAATAGTCTGTTTTCAAATTTAATCAGTTTTTCTAAAAAGTCCTATCTGCTTTGTCCAAAGGGACCCAATCTAGGACTGTTTTTGCATGATTGTCTTGTCCCCGAGCCACTTCTTACCTAGTGCATCACAGAGCCCCCTTTGAGAAACACCACCCTTCTCCAGTTCTGCCAAATAGTGTGCTTTTACACATTTCCACTATCATTGTGCCTTCCCCAGCCTTCGGTGTGTTTCAGAGGGCAACGATAGTGAGTGTTAACCTGCGTCCCCTCTGCTGTTCTCCAAGGTCATAGACATGACAGGCCGGGAGCAGAAGGTCTACTATAGCTACAGCCAGATCAGCCACAAACACAACATCCCCGACGACGGGCTGCCGCTGCAGTCACAACAGCTGCCACAGCCTGGCAGAGAGGCCAAAGCCCCAGGCTTTGCGCTGCCCGAGCTGGAGCACAACCTGCAGCTGCTCATCGACCTCACGGAGCAGGAGATCATCCAGAACGACCGGCAGCTGCAATATGAGCGGGACATGGTGGTCAACCTCTCCCATGAACTGGAGAAGATGTCGGAGGTCCTGGACCATGAGGAACGGGTCATCTCCAACCTCAGCAAGGTCCTGGAGATGGTGGAGGAGTGCGAGCGGCGTATGCAGCCCAACTGCAGCCACCCCCTCACCCTGGATGAGTGTGCCCACATCTTTGAAACCCTGCAGGACAAGTACTACGAGGAGTACCGGATGTCCGACCGCGTGGACCTCGCCGTGGCCATCGTCTATCCACTCATGAAAGAGTACTTCAAGGAGTGGGATCCCCTCAAAGTGAGTTGTTGGGGAAATCAGCCTCTACCTCTGATTTAGGGCACTCCGCGGCTGGAAGAGATTGTCCACGGGCAAGAAGGGCTGATTTAGCACTGCCCTTCAGCCGCTGTGTTTCTCCTCAGGACTGTACTTATGGCACCGAGATCATCTCCAAGTGGAAAAGTCTCCTGGAGAATGACCAGCTCCTGTCTCATGGTGGGCAGGACCTCTCAGCAGACGCCTTTCACAGGTACCGAGCCCAGGGCAGCGTGCAGCATTCCGGCTGCCATCCCCCTTGGAGGACTGAGGATTACTGTTGACTGGGGAAGGTTGAGGTGCTGGCCTTTATTAACCCTCTGCTGCATGCTGGCACTACTCTGAGAATTTCAGTTCTTATTCATTAGTTCACCCTACACTTGTCAAGTGTCTGTTGAGGATCATGTATGTGCTGGGCTTACCCTGAGAGTAAAGCAGACAGCCTGTGTCTACAGTAAGTGGAAAAGGCAGATGGCAAATAAGGAAGTGGATAGATAAGCCCAGGGTGTGAACTGGGCACATGATGCACCTATTTGAGGGAGAAGGTTTGAGGCAGAGGTCTCTCAGAGGTGACATTAAAGCCATGACCCAGAGGGTGAGGCATCAGTTATGCAGAGCTCTGGTGGGAAAGCACACAACACCTGGAGAGAGGGGCCCTCATGTGGGGGCCCTGAGCCTGTATGACCCCACAGCAACCCTGCCAGGCCAGGCAGGTACTGCTGAGAATGAGGCCCCGAGGTTGGGTGGGCAGCCAGGAGAGCAGAGAAGCGGCAGGCACAGGTCTGGCCAGTGTGGGGACTTGGCCTGGTGGTTTTCTGACCAGAGTTTCATGCTGTTGCCTTTTTCTTATTGTAGAGAAGTGGGTAGTGGTGTACTTTGTATACTGTGAAACCAGTCGGTGCAGTAGGCCAGCCTGCCCTCTGCCTTTCTCCCATAGGCTGATATGGGAAGTCTGGATGCCTTTTGTTCGAAATATTGTTAGCCAGTGGCAGCCAAGGAACTGCGAGCCGATGGTGGACTTCTTGGATAGCTGGGTACACATTATCCCCGTGTGGATCTTGGATAATATACTGGACCAGCTCATCTTCCCCAAGCTGCAGAAGGAGGTAGGCCCAGAGTCTGGGAACAAGCTCTCATCAGTAACCATGGGGACTCATTTAGCATTTCTCTTTATGTCAGTGCTGCTAAAATACCTGCAACTAACAGAATTTATCAGCACAGCTGTTGTCTTATGTTAACTCTAGACCTTTTCTCTCCAAAGCCCCCATTAATATGGAATTCATTTTCTTGGTTTATTAAAATTAGAATTGTGCCATTTCTTAGATTTAATACAATTGCATAGATTTACTCATTTGTGAGTCTGTTTCGGAGAAATGTAGGGTAAAAGGCCTACCAAGCACCTCGGCTGCCTCTGACTTAACCTGGCTTCCATAACATGGAGACCTCATCAGCAAAGCACTGGACCTTGGCCAGCAGAGCATGTGGCCTCCTTGCTGTTAACTACACAGAGCATCATGTGACTGTCCCACAGGCTGTATGAACTGCTGCTTCCCCCCCGCCCCACTCCTGCTACAGGTGGAAAACTGGAACCCACTGACAGACACCGTCCCCATCCACTCTTGGATCCACCCGTGGCTTCCCCTGATGCAGGCGCGCCTGGAGCCACTGTACTCCCCCATCCGCAGCAAGCTGTCCAGCGCCCTGCAGAAGTGGCACCCCAGCGACTCTTCTGCCAAGCTCATCCTCCAGCCCTGGAAAGATGTCTTCACCCCAGGCTCCTGGGAGGCATTCATGGTCAAGAACATAGTGCCCAAGCTGGGTAAGGAAATGGGGAGAACGCAGCATCCAAGTCCAGCAGCTTCGGTGCCCTGGTTTCTGTGGTCAGCGGCAAGGATCATGTCTAAACCCTGGCCTTTGCGCTGTATGACAGAGCTTAGCACAGGACATTGCTCACCGTAAAAGAGGTGCCATTTTATGTGCTGAGGCTGAATATAAATGAAACCAGGGTCCTTGAGGCAGTGACTGAGAGGCTGTAGTGACCATGTCAGACTCAGTGTGCCTCCTGGTTCCTGACTGGCCTGGTTTGGGCTTCTGGTAATGGGATAGTCATTGGTGTTCTGAAATTTTCATGGTATTTGGTTCTAAATGTGAGTTATTTCTGGGTTAGAGAAGAAAACGATTTTAAGAATTGCCATGTCAAGAGATTAAGGCTGACCTTTAAAAACAGATCAAAGACAAAAACAAACAAACAAACAAAAAAATCCAAAAAACAAAAAAAAAACAAAGACAAACACTGTCTGCTGAAGATTTTGCTCTTTGCACTTCCGGGCTTGGTCTTAGAGTCTGGGTTTTTCTTCCAGGGATGTGTCTTGGAGAGTTAGTCATTAACCCTCATCAGCAGCACATGGATGCTTTTTATTGGGTCATCGACTGGGAAGGGATGATCTCTGTCTCCAGCTTGGTGGGGCTCCTTGAAAAGCACTTCTTCCCAAAGTGGCTTCAGGTACGCTTTGTTTTGTTGGGGCTGGGATGGAGGCAAGGAGGATTCACTTCATTCTTGGATAACTGTGAAGTGACAGTGCTCTAATTATGTAGCAGAAAAATACACAGGATAGGAATGAGTAAAGCAGTAACAGCATGACCACATTTATAGGACATTTGCCAGATGTTGTTCTAAGTACCTGATTTGCATTATTTGAGGATAGGGACCATGGTATTCTCTACTGTATAAACGGGAGGCCGAGGCTCATGTGTGCAAGGGCACTTAGCTATCAAGCTGACTCCAGATCCCACGACCTTAAGTGCCAGTCTGATGAGCCCCTATATGGCCTTACAAGGGTCACCAGCTTGTAAGCCCAGGACCAAAGCAACAAAATGCCCCTTTGGATGTTTTGCTCCCATTTGTTGCCATGGTGGATGCAAGTTTCTTATTTGTTCCTTTTTGGCAGGTACTGTGCTCCTGGCTCAGTAACAGCCCAAATTATGAAGAGATCACCAAGTGGTACCTGGGCTGGAAGTCCATGTTCTCAGACCAGGTGCTGGCACACCCATCTGTCAAGGACAAATTCAATGAAGCACTTGATATCATGAACAGGGCTGTGTCCTCCAATGTTGGTGAGTGGGGATTCTGTTTTTGATGTCCTGGCCCTGAGCTCCAAGTTTCTGAATATATAAATGACAGACTCAGTTTTCAGGTACCTGTGGGCTGCCTATGCGTAGCTCACCCTCCGCTCCAACAGACCCTGACTTACCCACTGGACTGGGTTATATAATGCACTGCCAGCTCTCCTGTGACTGGGAGGGGCGTCTTTCCCTGAATGAAGAGTGGTTTAAGCTGGATTCACACTTTGTGAGCCTACCTCCACGACCTACCTTCATAACCACTGTGCTGTGTGGCTTTTTAGGGATCCGTACGTCCATTCAGCCAGCCTTAGGTGTGCTACCCAAGTGTAAAAGCTCACAGCATGGGGTTGGGGCATACAGTCTAACTCTTATTAGTTGCTCTCTCTTATTAGTAAACTCTCTCAGACCATTTAATACCTTCTAGGTTTTATTAAAAAACCTAGAGCGACTGAGTTAGTTTGTATATAGCACTGAATAGGGTGGTGTCTTTGTTGCGTCAAAGTAGGCAGTTGACTGTTCATTTAATACCTATTCCCCAAACTACTCAGTTCTAGGTGAGTCACTCTGCCTAGATCAGAAGTTTTGGGAGCCTCCTTAACAAATCCTGTATTACAATGTGTTCACCTCTCAAAGGCACTGGAGCATCTTCTCTAATCTTGTTTCACAGATGAGCTCAAGAAAGCCAAGAGCTTGTTCAAGGTCGCAGCTAAAGAGTGGCAGCTGTGATTGGAATTTCCATTTCCTGAGCCTTTAATTCTTTCTACTTAAGCCTATTACATGAAAACAGAATTCATAGATTATATAATTTTATATTTAATGAGGCAAATATACTTCTGTGTGCTCTACTTATCCCGGTCCTTCAAGGGACATCGGTGTGCCACCTCCATTTTTCATACTCTAATCTAAACTCTCCCTCATTAGCCTCTCTGGCCCCAAGCTCCTAGAACTGCTCCCCATATGTACCCCTAGGTTAGCACTGAGCATTTGTGGTCCTGTGTTATCCATCCTTCAACATTTGTGTTTCATCTTTCCATCTACATTTTAAATGCTTTCAGAGCCAAAGGTCTGTATGGGTAAGTTAAAAATGTTAGTAGTGTAGGCCATGTTTTCAAAGTTCTACAAGCTGCCTGTTTGGCAGTGTGGAGTGAAAACTACCCAGTGAGATGGGAACGGAACAGTAGCGAATGACTGCATGTCTGTCAAGGTTTCCAGCCCGGAAAGGATAAATCCTTTGAGAATATTTCATTTTATGTTGAATATTTTATGATCTCTGTGGTTGCTAGATATTAACCACAGATATTAAGACCAGTTTTTATGTGATTCCAGTCAGTAGTCTGGGTACTTGATCATCTAGTGCTTTGTGTCTTTGAGGCACAGCTGCTCCTCAGTCACAAGTAGGTTTTATAGAAGTGGCACCTGTGACATGACCAGACCTTGGGCCAAATACGGTCTTGATTTCTGTGTCTGTTGGAACACCTCTCCTCATCCCGTGTCTTCCAGGTGCCTACATGCAGCCCGGGGCACGGGAGAACATCGCCTACCTCACCCACACAGAGCGGAGGAAAGACTTCCAGTACGAGGCAATGCAGGAGCGGCGGGAGGCTGAGAACATGGCCCAGAGGGGCATTGGTGTGGCCGCCAGCTCTGTGCCCATGAACTTTAAGGACCTCATTGAGACCAAGGCTGAGGAGCACAACATCGTCTTCATGCCTGTCATAGGGAAGCGACACGAAGGGAAGCAGCTCTACACCTTCGGCCGTATTGTCATCTACATCGATAGGGGAGTGGTGTTCGTCCAGGGCGAGAAGACCTGGGTGCCCACTTCCCTGCAGAGTCTGATTGACATGGCCAAGTAGACTGCGGCAGACCTGCAGCAGGCTGGACACCTGGACCTGAGGGGGACGTATCTGTGAATAAATGATATTTTAAACCATCTTTGAAAAAGTAGCTTCTCTATTCAGGAGATATGCCCTATCAGGCCAAGTCACCAGGGAAGGGTATAACACGATAATGCTATTTCAGAAGTACGTAAAATTTTACCAGGTACTTTCACAGGCATATCATCCTCTAACAGGAGGGCCAACTTGAGGGATTTGCTGTTCTCTTCAAAATTTGGCTCACTGCAAAGAATGTTCTCTGTAGTCCATGGCAATCTCCCCTTTAGTCTCTAGTAGCAGCTGCTGCTGCTTCAGCCAACGTCAGATACGTTATAGCAGGTTCGAGTCAGTAGTTGAAGGGTCTTCTGTCTTGTTCCTGATGATTTCAAGGTCCTCACAGTCCTGATAATCTGGTTCTTCCCGAAATGCCCAGGTGTCCATGGAGAGTTGGTTTAGCCTTTGGACAGGGAACCAGTGGATGGAGGTGTCGTTAAATACATCCGTGTACTGTGAAGTCTGAGGAAACTGATGTTCCTCCAGTCCTTTTAAAATCTGAGCAGAAAAATTCAAAGTATAAACTTGGTAGTCACAGTAACTCCTACTCTCCTGGGTTATATTTCCATTTTACTGGTCACCCTCCTCCCCATGTTAAAAAAAAAAATAGGAATAGGATATTTTAAGGGCTTTTGTGCAATACACTGGAAGTGCCAAGGGCAGTGAATATGTTGGAATGTGATACTAAGAATAAAGGAAATTAGGAAAAATGCACTAAAATGTTACAGCTTTCTGGAACACGGACCCATCAAGAGAGCTCAATGACAGTAACTTTACTCTACCTTCAGTTAGTCCCTCATGAGCTTCTGCCTATGCATGTAAAGGCAGAATTCCTCACAGTGATAAGTAGGATTTCACACCCTTTTCTATCCCAGCCCCTTCATTCAGATATATACCTTTGCAATGTAGCCATAATTTTTATGCAGAATCCTTGTCAACAACCTAGAAATAAAAAATTTAAAGCATGATTAGGAGGAAAGAGAACGGTTTTTATTCAGCTTAAGACATACGGAAAGGCAAGGTGATTTAAATATAGGAATTTTAAAACTTAGGGTCGTACAGCAAGTTAAATATTCAGTAGAAAATGTGAATGCCCCAGCAACTGCACCCATTTCATTAAGGGAAATGACAGAGCAGACACCTAGGCATCCTGAAACAGGAGGGCCAGTAGCTGTGAGAAAGAATCGTATTTTTTCCCATTAAAAAAATTCCCATCCGTCATAAGGGAAGGGAGGAATTATTAGCGAAAAGACTCCGTAACCAGCTTTGCAGCTTGACTCAGGGCTGACATCTCTCCAGCCCTCTGTCCACTTTCCTCGGCTAAGCATCTCCAAGAGCCAGTTGTGGAAACGTGTTCTGCTTACTCTGAGGAATGGGCTTCACCTCAGGGCCCAACAGAATCTCAGCGTTCTCAGGCTTACCTTTCCTCTAGTCCTTTGAAACTGTTCCCAATGATGACCATCTTGGAAAGGGCATCTACTGACCAATTACTCCATAAAAGATTGTTGTACAGGGCTGTCCCACAATGGAGCATGTAAAAGATGGTGTGCTCACCACAGACACTCCGTTTTCCTTCCTGGGGGTACAATATGCACAGATGTAAACAAATACTTCTTGCAGGAAGGTGAGGGAAAGGTAAGGACAGATTAATACTGAGCCGAGAGTTCTCACTACAGGAAAAAAAAATGTAATTATGGAAGTGACAGATGTGTTAAGTAACCTTATGTAATTATTTGTAATATGTATCAAATCACACTGTACATCTTAAACTTATACAATGCTATATGTTAATTATATCAGTACAGCTCAGGAAAAAAGTGAGCTGAGGAAAGCAAACTGAAGTATGAGAGGGGAAAAAAAAAACTCATTGTGGAAAAGTTACATTAGTAGTGTGTATGAAATCTATAAAATTATATAGGACCAAAAGTCAGGAAATCATGATGTCCAGAAAAAACTCATGTTTATTTAACAAATGTGTGTCCCACGAACACAGAAAGCTCTGGATCAATGAAGGAACGTCTTGGGTCTGTGATAGCATGGGGCAGGAGGTTTGGCGATAGTACTGTCCCTCACTGGCTCTCCCTTTGCTGTCTGGTCCCTGCTGCCTCTGGGCCTCTCCTCTCTACATTCTCCTTGCAGGTTCCCTTCTGTTAATAACTGGCAGTGGTTTCTGAACAGCCAGCACAGGCCGCCTGTAACCCTGGTCCTGTCCCTCTAGCAAACTCCTAGTCAACCTTCAAATCCCAGGTGAGAGCCAAGAAACCTTCCTCCATCACCACAAACAGCACAGGTTTCTTTCCCATTTCAGTTCCTAGGACATGGCTCTATTTCACTGTTTGATTTATCGATTACTTATTTACAGGCCACATGCCTTGATGTGACCTGAAGACAGGGACTGGCTCTTATTTATCTTGGGCTCCCCAAAGCTCCTTGCCTAAAGCAGAGCAGGGATTCAGAAAACATGATCTGAATTAAATGGCAGTGTTTTAGGAGCTTGCCAACATTGGCAAATGATTCTTGTCTCAGCTGGGACTGATTTTTGTGTTTCATAATAAGCAATGAGATGGCAGTTTTTTAGAACACGGAGGAATGAAATGATTATTTTATAATCCCCAAGACAACACAAAACTAAAATCAGAGGTATTTGCTTACACTGGCTTCAGTCCGCTACTTGTAAAATGATTTTTTTCTCCCAGATCTCCGGAAATTTTGAATCTCAATTATTTTAGGGAATGCAAGGGTAGGCAAAGGATCCATCTATAACTCACAGCCAGGTGCTGTGGGTGTGATTGACTACAGCTTCAAAGGGGAGAAGTTCTGTCCGCTTTCATTATCTCCCTGTTGTAATATTTTAATACTGAAAGTAAATACCAACTTAGCATAATTTCTGGACATCAAAACTTCATAAAAATTTTGTAAACCTAACATGTTCTGGGTCATGCCATTTGTGTAATTAATTTTCTTCTGATGGGCACAACAGTCCAAAATGTGGGCTCACATATTACTGGAAAAGCAAGTAAGCAGTGAAAAGGAATAACTGTTGTTTCAAAGAAAGTGTCCACAGGATAGAGACTGGGGTCAGTAGGTCAGCAGCCCTCCCCACTCCCCTTTCCTAAATCACTCACTTCGTTCTCACTGAGGACAATCAACCCGAGGCTGCTGAGAATCGCAATTTCGAGTTGGCTAAACAGAGGGTCATACACCCAGCAGTGACTTCTGGGAATCTGCAGAAGGGAAGAAGGTTTTGTTTATTTCAACCCCAATACCTGTGTGCACACTGTATGTAAGACCAAGGGATGGGTAATAAAGAGTCAAAAATTTACCTGGCACTTTTCCAGGAAGAGAAGCAAAAATGTTAGCTGGTTTCTAGCTATGACACAGGTGGAAAAGTTCCCAATGCCGTAACACACACACTTCCAGGGGCAGGTTCCCGTGGCCAGGGTCTCTCCTGGGATGGAGCCAGGGGCCACATTGGACTCATCTGGTGGGGAGTCAAGGTGCAGGTTTCCAAAGGCTCCTGAAAGAGGCTCTACGGGGGTCTTCGGTTGTTCCAGCTGTTTCGTAAGACATCCGTTGATGGTTTCTGAAAGAGCAGGCCCCCAAATACAGTCAGAGGGCACGCCACACCCTGACTCTGCGAACCAAATCGGCCACCAAAGCAGCCCACAGAGCCAGGGAAAAGAGGAGCGGAGCAGTAATGGCTTCAACTCCCCAGAGGGAAGGGCTGCCAGCCCACTCTTAAACATGCCTGGGACACACAATGGTGTCCACCAAAACCTGGCAGGTCGTCCTGGTCCCTGTATACCCACGGCCTACAACCTCAGAGAATGTTTCAAGCAAAAAAAGGTTTTATTTATGGGCAGAGTTTCCATATAAAACTCTAATGTGAACTCATTCTAGTTTAATGGGAGGTAAATGCAGGTTATGGTCTGAAGTACCAACTTTTTTCACTATTAGCAAAGATCCCTTTAAATAAGACCCCAGCCAGGAAAGGTTGCAGGAAGAATTGGCTCTTTTAGTCCTTGCTGGTAAAAGAATTGGTAACGTTTTTTGGAGAACAACTTGATAATGGATATCAAATTGGTCACTGCCCTTCACTGAATAATTTCACTTCTGTAAATATATCCTAAGAAGATTATCTTAAATTTGGTAAAAGCTTTATGCATAAAGGTGCTCATTGCAAAGTTATAATAACTAAAAAACAAAGTAAACAAACTTAAACACCCCTTGATAAAAATTATAACTATGGTGTGTTCACTCTATGTATCAATATTGTTTAAGAAGAGATTATAATTGCATGGAGGGAAAAGTCTATATTGTAATCTCAAAGGAAAGAAAGCAGGATAAATTAAAATTTCAATAATAATGACAATAACATTTACTATCCCTGTGCAGCAGGCAAGCACTGTTCTAAGCACTTAACTACGCAGCCTCATTTAATACTCAAAATTATGCAACAGGGTAAGTCCATTTCACAGATAAAGAAACTGAGGGTCAGAATTAGTTAAGTGCCCAAAACACACAGTTGTAGGGGGGAAGTCAGAATTAGAACCCAGTATGTACACTGCTCCATGAAGCAAGATGAAGGTGGGATTCTGTGTTTCGCCCACATTCAGTCCTTCCTCCCACCCTGCGCACCCCGAGCCTCAGTGAGGTGAACTCACCTAGTGCTGAACTCCAGAAATCAGAAAGAAGCAGGTCCTCCCTGTTGAAGAAAATGGCATGGTCATCTCTCATCCATTTCAGGGCCGACCTAACAGTGACCCTCCTCCTGAACCTGAGCTGGGTGTGGGGAGCATAATGGGTGTCCTCAGATGCAGAGCCCACCCCTGAGTGACAGGAAGAGGATACGTGATGAACACATCCAGATGTCCAGACTCAGAGCACAAAGAAAGGGCAGCAGGGGCTGTGGAGAGGGCTTCCTGGAGGAGGCCCCTGATTTCTGGGAACAGGTCTCGGCCTGTTCTGTATCCTTGGTCCAATACAAAGCCTGGCTCCATAAATAGCTGTTAATGCACAAATTTAGCCTCTCTGAGCTTCAGTTTCCTCATCTCTAAAACGGGGATTAGAACGGTACCTATTACAGGAGGAATTAAATGAGTGAACACTCCACACAGTGCCTGGCACAGAGCAGGTACTCAATAAACAGCTTTTGTTATAAATAATTCCAAAGTGAAAGTGAGATATGATACAAACTGGGCTTTCCTTATTCAAGTTAACTGGTTTCCACAAACTCAGCGCCAAACATAGTGCTATATTAAAATGGACTGAAAGGATTCTCCAATCAGACACAGAGTGGCTGAATGGATAAAAACACGCTGCCTATAAGAGGCTCACTTTGGATGTAAGGACAGACATAGTCTGAAAGTGAAGGAATGGAAAAAGATGTTCCATGTAAATGGAAACCAAAAGGAAGCAGAGATATCTATACTTATATCAGACAAACTTTAAAACAAAGAGATACCAACATTTATGGGATGCAGCAAGAGCAGTTCTAAGATGGAAGTTCATAACAATAAATGCTTACCTCAAGAAACAAGAAAAGTCTCAAACAACCTACCTTTTCATTTCAAGGAACTAGAAATATTAGAAAAAGCCAAGCCCAAAGTTAGGAAGAGGAAGTAAATAAGAGATTAGAGCAGAAATAAATGAAAAGGCAAAGATCAATGAAAGTAAGACCTAGTTATTTGAAAAGATAAAATTGACAAACCTTTAGTAGATTCATCAAGAAAAAAAGGAGTGGACTCAAATAAATAAATCAGAAATGAAAGAAGAGATATTAAAACAGATACCACAGAAATACGAAGGATCATAAGTGACTACTATGAACAATTATATGTCAACAAATTGGACAAACTATAAGATACAGATAAATTTCAAGAAACATACCAAGACTGAATCACGAAAAAAAGAGAAAATCTGAATAAACTAATTACTAGTAAGAAGACTGACTCACTAATTATCCAAAACTTTGCAACATACAAAAGTCCAGGGCCAGATGGCTTCATTGGTGAATTCTGCCAAACATTCAAAGAAGAATGAATACCAATTCTTCTCAAGCTCTTCCTAAATACAAAAGAGGAAGGAACTCTTCCAAACTCATTTTAGGAGGCTAGCATTACCCTGTTACCAAGACCAGACAAGGATGCCAGAAGAAAATTAAATAAAAATTTTTGCATCTGATGAATACAGACGCAAAAATCCTCAATAAAACATTAACAAACCAAGTTCCACAATACAGCTGACCCTTGAATGACACTGGTTTAAACTGTGAAAGATCACTTTCACCCCAATTTTTTCCAATAAATATACTGGAAAATTTTTTTGGAGATTTGTGACAATTTGAAAAAATTCACAAACAAACCACATAGGCTAGAAATGTCAAAAAAATTACAAAGGCTCCTCTGCTCAACACAAACATGCCAAAGAGATCTACATGCCGGTACATCAGAAGGTGAGCGGGTTGGAATGCACAGAGGAGGTAAGGCAAGGGGAGGACAGGGACAGGGTCCACAAATGCAGTTTGGCAGCCACCATGGCCCAAGCTAACATGACAGGGATAGAAGAGCTGAGGTGCAGCCCCCACACAGTGGCTCGGCGGAGGCTCAAATTAAAGGCATGGAAGATGATACTGCAAGCAATGATACTCAGAGAAAAGAGAGTGTAGCTATACTTACATCAGAGAAAACAAATTTCAAGACCGAAAAGGTAACGAGACAAAGATGGACATTTTATAACAGATCTAAAGGGAGAAATATACAGTTTTACAATAATAGTAGGAGACTTTACTATCCCACTTATGCCAATGGATAGGTCATCCCCACAGAAAGTCAACAAGGAAACATCAGCCTTAAATGACACATCAAACCAGATGGCCTTAATATTTTTAGAACCTTCCATTCCCAAACAACAGGATACACATTCTTTTCAAGTAGACATGTGACATTCTCAAGGATAGACCAATGTTGGGAAACAAAACAAGTTTCAATAAATTTAAGAAGATTTAAATCATACCAAGCATCTTTTCAGACCACAACAGTATGAAACTAGAAATCAACTATAAGAAGAAAGCTGGATTATCACAAATATGTGGAGATTAGTAATATGTTACTGAACAACTATTGGGTCAAAGGAGAAATAAAAGAAGAAATCAAAAGATACAGAGAGACAAATTAAAATGAAAATATGACATGCCAAAATTTTTTGGATACGGCAAAATCAGTACTAAGAGGGAAGTTCATAGCAATACAGGCCTAGCTCAAGAAATAAGGAAAATCTTGAACAATCTAACATTACACCTTAAGGAACTAGAGAAGGAAAAACAAAGCCCAAAGTCAGTAGAAGGAGGGGAAATCGAGCATCAATGAAAAATTAATGAAACAAAGAGCTGGTTCCTTGAAGAGACAAAAAATAAATTGACAAACTTTTATCTAGACTCACTAAGGAAAAAAGAGAAACAACTAGAATAAAATAAAAAATGAAAGAAATTACAATGAATACCGCAGAAATACAAAACATTATACAAGAATACTATGAAAAGCTATGTGCCACTAAATTGGACAACCCAGATGAAATGGACAAATTCTTAGAAAATACAACCTTCCTGGACAATAACACAAAGAACTGGAAAACCTAAATAGACCAATCACTCACAATGAATTTGAAACAGCAATCAAAAACCTCCCCAAAACCAAAAGTCCGGGACCAGATGGCTTTCCTGGTGAAGGAAAGACACACTCTCGCTCTCACACACACACGCTCACACTCTACAGGCCGATATCTCTAAAGAACACATATGCAAAAATCCTAAACAAAATACTAACAAATTGAGTACAACGACACACGAAAAGGATCATACACCATGATTGAGTAGGATTCATTCCAGGGATGTAAGTAAGGATGGTTCAGTATAGGCAAATCAATCAACCTAATACACATTAACAAAATATAAGATAAAAGTCATACGATCATCTAAATAGATGCAGAAGTAGTATATGACAAGATACAATATACATTTATAATAAACTCTCAATAAAAGGGCTATAGAAGAAAAGTATCTCAACATTAATAAGGTCATATATGACAAACCCCCATCCAGAATCATACTCAGTGGTGAAAAACCGAAAGAAAGCTTTTCCTCTCAGATCAGGAACAAGACAAGTATGCCCACTCTTGCCACTGTTATTCAACATAGTACTGGAAGTCCTAGCCAGAGCAATTAAGCAAGAAAAATAAAAGACATCATGCCACTATTTGGAGATGACATGATATTATATATAGAAAACCCTAGAGACTTCGCTAAAAACTTAGAATAAACAAATTCAGTAAAGTTGCAAGATACAAAATCAATATACAAAAATCTGCTTCTATATACCAACAACTATCAGAAAGAGAAATGAAGAAAAAATCCCCCTCATAATCGCAATAAAAAGAATAAAATACCTAAGAATAAACTTAACAAAGGAGGTGAAGGACCTGTACACTGGAAACTACAAGACATTGTTGAAAGAAATTGAAGACAATGCAAAAAAAATGGAAAGAACATTCCATGTTCACAGACTGGAAGAATTAACATTGTTAAAATGTCCCTATTATGTAAAGCAATCTACAGATTCGATGCAATCCTTATCAAAATCCCAATGGAATTTTTCACAATAGAATAATCTTAAAATTTGTATGGAACCACTAAAGACCCCGAATAAACAAAGCAATTCTGTGAAAGAAGAACAATGCTGGAGGCATCATGCTCCCTGATTTCAAACAATATTACAAAGATACAGTAATCACAACAGTATGGTATTGGCATAAAAAGACACAAAGATCAATGGAACAGAATAGAGAGGCCAGAAATAAATCTACACATATATGGTTAATCAATTTATGACAAAGGAGCCAAGAATATACAGTGAAAGGTCAGTCTCTTCAGTAAATGGTGTTGGGAAAACTGGACAGCCACATGCAAAAGAATGAAACTGGACCACTATCTTACACCATACACAAAAATTAACCTAAATAGATTAAAAGTTTGAATATTAGACCTGAAACCGTAAGATTCTTAGAAGAAAACATAGGGGAAAAGCTCCTTGACATCCGTCTTGGCAATAATTTTTTTGGATCTGACTCCAAAAGCAAAGGAAACAAAAGAAAAAACGAACAAGTGGGACTACATGGAACTAAAAAGCTTCTGCACAGCAAAGGAAATAATCAACAAACGAAAAGGCAACCTACTGAATGGGAGAAAATATTTGCAAATCGTGTATCTGATAAGGGGTCAATATTCAAATATATAAAGAATGTATACAACTCAATAGCAAAAACTAGTCTGATTAAAAAATGAGCAGAGGATTTGAATAGACATTTTTCTAAAGAAGATATACAAATGGCCATGGAAAGATGCGTAACATCATTAATCGAATGCAAATCAAACCCACAATGATATATCACCTCACACCTGTCAAAATGACTACTAACAAAAAGATAAGAAATAATGTGTTGACAAGAATGTGGACAAAAGGGAACTCTTGTGTATTATTCATATGAATGTAAATTGGTGCAGCCACTATGGAAAACAGTATGGTGGTTCCTCAAAAAATTAAAAATAGAACTACCATATGATCCAGCAATTCCACTTCTGGGTATTTATCAAAAAACAAAACAAAACAACCCTCCCCCCACCAATAAAAAACAAAAAAACACTCATTTGAAAAGATATCTGCACCACCATGTTCACTTCAGCATTACTTATAAAGCTAAAATATGGAAACAACTATCGATGGAAAAATAAAGATGTGGAACATATATATAATGTAACCACAAAAAATGAAATACTATCCAGCCATGAAAACAATGAAATCACTTATGGTAAGTAAAATGAGTCACAGAAAGACATATTGTATGACACATTTATACGTGGAATCTTAAAAAAAATACAGTGAACAGACTGGTGGTTGGCAGGGGATGGGGTTTGGGCAAAATGGGTAAAGGGAGTCAAAAGGTACAAACTTCCAGTTATAAAATAAATAACTCATGGAAATGTAATGTACAGCATGGCAACTATAGTTAATAATACTGTATTGCATATTTGAAAGTTGATAAGAGATCTTAAAAGTTCTCATCACAAGAAAAAAAATTGTTTAAAAAAAAAAAAGGAACTGTATTTGAACCAACAAGCCATAAGCCATTGCTCAGAGACTCTGAGTGTATTAGACTCAGAGTAGAGGCTGCTCTACTATTCCTCACGAAGAGTAAAGGAGAGTTCTAACCCCTTATGGTAAGTAAAATGAGTCACAGAAAGACATATCGTATGACACATTTATACGTGGAATCTAAAAAAAAAATACAGTTCTAATCTATAGGGACTGCTTTGTAAACTGGTGTGTGCACAGGAGAACAAACAGCATGTAAAGTGCTAGGCTCCTCTCTACTAGGACACTGGGGACTGCACCACATTTGGGGGTACAGGGGGAAGTAGGGAGCTCCTAGGTGAACAGTGAAGAAGTTGAGAAGGCATAACGATGTCAAGGTATATGGGAAATGCCTTAAGAGTTCTCTGAGTTCATGGGCACACTCATTCTCATTGGCATCTTCTGAGATCCTAGAGAAAAAAAATCAATGCTGCTTTTTTCTCAGGCTCAGTCAGGTGGTCAGCCAATTTCTTTCTATTCAGTAGCAACCTCTGAGTCACCTCTGCCTCTTGACCCTAATTCTGGGGAAGAGGAGTACATAAAATTAGTCTAATTTCTTTCAGTTGTGATGATCCTTCAGCTGTTGATCTAAAGTTCTAACAAAAGTTGTTGTTAATTGAGCCCTTAAAGGACTGCAAATAAATAAAGGCAATAATACGAAATAACAAATGTAGTAACATTTATTGAGTGCTTCAGCTGTGTCAGTGCTATTTAAGGTACATAGCAAGGCATGAAAGGACGGGAGACAGTATAATCCAGAATAACAGAGAGCCTTGAAGCACAGGTTTTGGAGTCGCAAAGTTATAGATTTAAAACCTAGTTCCATACATTATCTATGTATCTTTAAGACTTGGCACCGCCAGGATCCTAGTACGGCTAAGATGTTCATTGATAAAGTGTGTAGAATGCTCAAGCCGATGCCAGGCACACAGCAGCTCAATTAGCTAGTAATGACAGTCATGAAGATGACAATCACGTGTTCGTATTGCTTCCTTGATATGAGAAATAACAATAATAACCAATAGTGGCATAATACTAATATCAAACATTGGAACTGAGCTTACCATGCGCCAGGCACTGTTCCAAATGTTTACAGTTCACTGAACCCTCAAAAATGAGCCTGTATGGGTACTAATTTCATGCCCACCACACAGATGAGAAAACTGAGGCACAAAGATTACATAACTTGCCCAAGGTCACGCGGTTGTAATTGTAGTAAAAGGAATGGCAAACTTTGTTGAGCGGTTACTATAATCCAATCTGCAATGAGCTCGTTACCTTCCTTCAATCCTCACAATAACCCCTTAGGTTTGCGGTTATTCCCACTTTACAGGTGGAGAGACTGAGGTTCCGACAAGCGTAAAGATTCGGACCCAAAGCCGACCGCGCACTCACCTGGCCTTCCGAATGCCACGAAGCACAACTCCGCTGTCCACCTCAGGCTCTGCCTCCCGGCTCGGGGCCGCCGCCGCCTCTCTGGGCTGTGGACGTCGAGCCGCGGAGCGCCTTTTCCGCGGAGCCGCGGTCTGCCAAGGTTCCAGCGCCACCGCCGCCATTGGCCCCTGGCGTCGCGGCCGCGCGACGCGCTTGGACTACGTCATCGCCGCGCGCCAGCTCTACGGAAACTAGGAGGCCGGAGGCGCGGGCGGCCGGTGATACAGGGGTCTCTTAGAGGCGCGCGCAGGTACCAGGTGGGACTCGCTGCCGCCCACACTCCGGATCTGGAAGCCTGATCCCCGGGCTACCTGGCTACTCTGGCAGGTGGGCGGTCCGGGGACACCGAGGGGCTGGACAGCGACCGAGAGCGCCTCATCGCGGCTTTTCCGCGCCGTGACCGGACCCAGATTGACCCCAGCGCCTTTGCTCACCAATTCTCCACCAATTCCCAGTCCTTGGAGCTGAAGCCAGACACTTCCCAGTACCCTAGACGGTTACCAATCGCTTTTTGGTCCTTCGCAGTCGTTAGCGCCCTTTTTCCTGTCTCGCTGATGCACTGAGGCCACGTTCTACACCTCCCGCCCCCGCCCGGGCCATTGCCGACCAATCTTGACTCCCTAGGGTCGTTACTGCCACTTCACAGGCTGCCAGAGCCTTCTCTGGTGACATCCCAATAGCTGCCCTACCCCAGGGCCATTACCAGCCTCTTCAGGACCTTTCAGAGGTAAGAGACTGGACCTGGGCAGTGCAGGGCCCAGTCCTCTGGAAACAAGGGATAGGCGTTCTCAGGCTGCTGTCCTTTGTTTCAAGAGCTTAGAGCCTCTCCACAGGCATCCAGATGTGCTTCAAAGAATACCATGAGTGTGACCCTATGGAGGCCCACCTCAAGGTATCTAGAGCTGAGAACAGATAGAGTTTGTACAGGCCATCAGAGATTCAGTGGGTTCCTCTCTGACGGCTTCTCTCTACCAAATAAGCTTTAAACAACTCTGTTGTTTTCTCAGGAGGATGACAGATGGTGAGCAAGCATTTGAAATGTTGCCGGGGACGTTAATCTTGGAGAAAGTGACAGTAGGCCTACAGTTTTGAAGGGACCAAAAGATTGTCTTTTGGAAAGATTAGACCTTGTTTTGTTTTCCTGCAGAGTATTATTATGCAGTCCGTGACGGTTACTGGGAGGACAGTTTTAGCTTGGTGGAAGGAGAAATTTAACACTATGAACTATCTGTTTCTGGAGAGAGTAAGCCAGAAAACTCAAGTAACTTTTGAAGATGATTTTTAAGAGATAAGGAGTGGAGTAAATGATGCCAGGGTCGCCTTCGGAATTTGAAATTCCGTAATAGTCTGAGCTGTTGTTCCTCTTGTGGGAGTTTGAAAACCACTTGTTAAATTCTTTGTCTTTTGGAAATTTGCCCATCTCCAGAGTTCTTCAGTCTACTTCAGGGCTGCCAAGGTGACAGTTCCTCAATTTAAGTATCATTATTACTACAGCAGTTATCTTATTTGTATAGCTGTCCTCGCACTCGGAGCTTCACCCTACTTATTTAATTTTAATTTTCTGTGGGGCGTCATTGTTGAAGAATCTAAGGGATTTGCTCTGAAGTCCTGTTACCCTCTCTTTTATTTTGAAACAATTCTTGACTTTCTAGAAAGCTCTTTTGAAGTATACCATTTGCTTAACCCTGCTGGGTCACATGCTCTCTTGTGGGTTTCTGAAATAATCTATTCCTTGTGTTTATTTTAGGGCCAAGGCACTGATATCTGAACAGGAAGCTTCAAAACTTTTAAAAGAACCTCCAGAATGGTTTTGAACCAGACAAGCTAGAAATCACCCCAGAACTCCACCTTCAGCATGCACCTCCCTTTTTGGGCTTTCCTGGCAAGGAGTTTTTTGAAGAGGTTATTCTGTAGAGATCCAGAGAGCTGATGCTCACAGAACCAAATTAGTGGATCTGACTTTTCTGTTAGAATTCTCTTGTTTTATTATATTCGCTCCCAGAGTTCTAAGAGGTGTAGAGGTATTCATGGAACTGAAGAACCTGCAAGGAGGGAAGTAGAACTTTCATGCTGAATAAAAACTAAGCAAGTGACAGTTGTGACTGAAAATACTTAAACCTCCCACATCCGGGTTTATTGGATCAGGAACACAGAGAAACGGTCACTGCTGGGGAGAAAGAACCCATAACTGGAAAAGAAAACCCAAATAAAGAGAATGAGGGTGACCAGAAAGTAAATGGCCACCTCCAGCTCAAGAGAAACGAAGTCAGCCTCCTGGTGAGTAGCAAGGCCTGACGTGGTTTAGTTTCTGCCAGGCTCCTGGATGGATGTTTTGGGTTAACTGAAAATCTCCAGCGAGACTGTCTTGATTTTATTAAGGAAGAAAAAGTGTCATTTTCCTCAGAGTTACTGAATCAAGCGTGTGAGCCATTTCTCATCAGAGCTGTGTTGTAGCCTCGCAAGCCTCTTGCAGTGTTCAAATGAGTCCAGCCTTGCTGGTAGATTGTAGAGAAGATAACCATGGTTGGATCATGCATATCTGATAATGTTGTGGGCGTTGGAGTCTTTAATTTTGAAAGACCAGAAATGATTGCACTGCAGAATTACACCATGAGAAGATGTTTGGCCAGTCTTCAGGTTATCTCTTGATGGGTGTTACACAACATCTGCCTGCAACTCCATTGCCTTCAACCCCAAATGGGTTAAGCTTCTCTCATAATTTGTTTCAGCAAACATTAATCAAGGAGATGAGCATTAAAGGCATGGTTTAAGTAGAAAGAGCAGGGTTTAGTGACTGATACATATGTGTGGAAGTCAAAAAGATGGAGCATTTCAAAATGTCTGCTTTTTTTCTTGTGTGTTCTTGGAAGAGTGGGGGTGCTTTCAACCAGAGAACATAAGGAAAGGGTAGAATGGGGCCCGTCAGTGGGGTTTCTGAATTGAGTTTAAAACATTTTTGAGGCTTTTTGATCTGGACTTGCCCTGCAGCCAGTTGCACATCTGAGGAAAGCAGACTGAACAAGAAAAGAGTTAGTGCTTGTCATCGGGAAGATAAGGTGGGAACCAGAGAGGGTGGTGGGAGTCCAGGGGAGAAGAGCACAGGTGACAGAGTGGTCACGGCTCCTCCTTAGATTCTAGGTTTAGAAGTAAAACTCAAGTCCAGCCTTTGTGGAGTTTGCTTTATGATCTTAAAGATATAATTATACTGCAGAGTAGACAATAAGACTTTAGGGAAGAACATAGGGTTGTGGAAATTGAGAAGAGATTCCTCTGGAGATCAGAGGGATCGTGTTTGAGTTATTCTCGTAAAGTTTTGACAGGCAGAGAGGGGTTTGTGCTTCTCTGATCTCTCAAAGGCCCCTGTTTTTCCCATTGTAGACTCACTATCCTGTATTGAAACATGTACTTTATCGCCATGGCCCCAGGGCCAGCAGAGGCAGCACACACTGTAGGCCCTGCAGTGTGTTTGTTAAATGAATCTGTAAATTCCTAGTAGAAAGGATACTTCAGGAGATCATCGTGCCCAGCAGTTGTGAGGAGTGCATCTGAGACATCCCTAACTTATTTTGTTATCAGAGCCTTAAAAGAGTTTACCAGACCATGTGGTTATATAGTTAAGGTTCAGTGTCTTAAATTAGAGGCATCATTGTGGGCTATCAGTCTTTCCTTAGCTATTTGTCTGTCTTTCACACAGATGGTTTGACAGCTGGATAGAGGCATATTTTTAGTTTGACTCCACTGCGTTTATGAAATGGTTTTTATCTATTTGTAGCCACTGGGTTCAGAAGGCTTTTCAAACACTGAGTAATGAGCTCTTCTTGGGCTGGGAAATAGGAAGCTGTGTTTTCAAATGCCCTGATCACTGGAAGAAAGGAAACATGGCTCCGTTCTGTTCTCTTGCCAGGTGGAATTATTTTTTTCTTTATGATGGTTCAAAGGTAAAGGAAGAAGGAGATCCAACAAGAGCTGGCATTTGTTATTTTTATCCTTCCCAGGTAAGCCACATATATATTATTGTTCTGTGGGGATCCCACTGCCTCAAAGCAATGACTTTTCAAAAGTATGAGGTTTACATTAGGGCAGTTTTGTTTTGTTTTAAATAATCTAGGAAATTGACATTTCTGCTCTCTTATTCTTAGTTGTACTATTTTTTGTTGTTCTGGCCTTCAAACTCCCAGGCAGCTGGGTACTTCTGCCTTCTCTAGCTCTCTGTTACCGTCATAATTTTCTGTCTGCCCTCATTCCTCCCAATTTTTGATCGGCTTGTTTTAAAAAAATAAAACTTTTATTCAAATACATACAAAAAATAGGAGAGTATTATGAACCCTCATATGGCTGTCGCCAGCTTCAACAATTATCAACACTGCCAATTTTATATGACCTATCCTAACCTCTCCCCCTCCTTTTTTTTTTCTGGAGTACATTGAAACAAATCCTAGACATGGTGTCATCTCACAAGTATCAAGTAACATCTCTAAATGAAAAGGACATTTTTTAACATCATACCTAACAATTACAATAATTAGTAACAATAATTCCTTAATATCATCTGATAGTGTCTGTACTCAAATTTTGCCTTATTATCTTAGATGTTACTTAGACTTACCTTCCTTCCTTCCTTCTTTCCTTCTGACTCCCTTTCTCTCTCTTTCTTTTTCCTAATCAGGATCCAAACAAGTTCCACATATTCCATTTGGTTATTTTGCGTTCGAAGTCCCTTTTACTGTATGACACTCCTCACCCACTCATCTTTTTCCCCCTTTGCCATTGAATTACTAAAGAAACCAGGTCATTTGTGTAGTAGAATGTAAGAATGTCCCATGCTCTGTATTTGGCTGATAACCTTCTCACGGTGGTGTCATTTAGTGTCTTTTATCTGCTCTATTTCCTTTAAAGTAGTAGTAAGATCTAGACTCCCTTCAGTAGGTTCAAATTTGGTTCCTTTAGGCCAGAATTCTTTATATATTTTCTGTTCCTCACATAATGTCTGGCTGCCCCACAGCTGAGTTGATGCTAAGACTGATTAGGAGGTCTGTATATTCACTCATGTGATTACTCTCTGACTTGGATAATTGGGATTAATCTAGGCTGCTTTGGTCACTCTGCAGGGGATTTGAATAGGGATGAAAGGCTCATGCTTCTGCCCATGCACATGGGTTAAATTATATTATAGGATATAATCCTGGGAACAAAAATGTAGTTCTGTGCAGTCATCTTATGTGTTCATTGTGAGTATTCTATGATGGTTTATTCATCTGGACAGGTGTTGGCAAACTGTCTAAAAAGAGCCAGAGTGAATATTTAGGCTTTGCAAGCCATATAAGGTCTCTGTCACATATTCTTTGCTGTTGTTTTGACAGCCCTTAAGAAACATAAAAACCATCCTTAGCTCATGGCCCATATAAAAACAGATGATCCAATAGATCTGGCCTGCAAGCTATATAGTATGCCAACCCCTGCTCTAAGGAATGACACAAGAGTTCAACAATTTCAACTTTCTGTCTGGAATTTGCTCCTTTCCCATAGACCCTGCTTGATCAACAGGAGTTGCTTTGTGGACAGATTGCTGGAGCCGTCCACTGTATTTCTGACATCTCTGGCTCTCCTCCCACTCTCATTCGTCTACGGAAACTTAAGTTCGCCATAACGGTTGATGGAGATTACCTTTGGGTAAGTTGAACAGGCAAAACTAGTGCTGACAGGGTCACCTTTACCATGAGTCATTTATCTTTGTGATAAGAATTGTGATACGGTTTAGAAAATAATGCTCTCCATAGCTCTCAAGCCAGGAACTCTTCCTTTCTCCCCATGTGCTGTGTCCAATATTGTTCATGATTCCTGTGTCACTCTCCGCAGGTGCCCATCATACCTGATGCTCTCCAAAACATTTCTGACATATCCTGCATTGCACCTGGCTGATTTCTCCTCTCCTTTGAAAGACTTAAGCCAGTCTTTGGAAATTCTCTTTACTCTGTTTTCTTCTGTATACTGCATACTTCCTTATACTCTCCACACTTACTGGGTAAGTGACCCAGAAACACTTAAGACATGGATGCATATATATTAGGTTTTAAAAAAACCATTAAAAAGAAAAAATAAAAACCATTTCTTTACAGCCTGTAGTGTCCTGTCCTGTAAAGTGCTATTTTCCTATGCCTACACTTATTTTAAACGGTTCCTGAGGTGAACGGATGTTTAAGTGTGAGGAAGTATATTCAGCTTTGCAGGTATTATTTCCAGTATTTTATTACAAAAATTTCCTAACATAACAAACAGTTGAAAGAGTTTTACAGTGAATATTCATACAGTAGGCTCTTGAACAACACAGGTTTGAACTGTGTGGGTCTACCTGTATGTGGATTTTTTTCAATAAATATTATAAATGTATTTTTTCTTATAATTTCCTTAATAACGTTTTCTCTATCTTACTTTATTGTAAGAATACAGTATTTATTACATATAACATACAAAGTATGTGTTAATCGACTGTTTATGTTAATCGGTAAGGCTCCTTGTCAATAGTAGGCTATTAGAGATTAAGTTTTTTGGGAGCAAAAAGTTACATGTGGATTTTTGACTATATGAGGTGATCTGTGCTCCAGCCTACATGTTGTTCAAGGGTCAGCTGTACCTCCTAGATTCTGCAATGCACATTTCATTGTAGTCGCTTTATTACATATCTGTTCATCCCTTTATCTTCCTATCAATTCAGTTTTTATGTTAATGCTTTTCAGAGTTGCACACATTAGTATACTCCTCCCCAACCCCCAGCCCCAAATACTTCATCATGCATAACGTTAAATAAAGCTCAGTATTTATTTGTGGTTCTTTTTTCCTTTTGACGCAAGATTTACATATGATGAAACACACAAATCCTGAGTATACCATTTGATGCATTTGGACAAATGATGCGCCTTATAACATAAATTCTTATCAAGATACAGAATATTAGCATCACTCTCAAAAGTTCTCTGCGTCCTTCCTCAGTTAATTATAATCCACTCCCCTCCATCCCACACAACCATTGATGTGAATTTTTCCTGCCATAGATTAGTTCTGCTTGTTCTAGAGCATCATATGAGTGAAATAATACGTGTAGCATTCCTCTTTACAGGTCCTGTCATGCCGCTTAGTGTTTCTGAGAACCAACCATGTTAGTGCATTCTTTTTTATTGTTGAATAGTATTTCATTGTCTGAATATGTCACAGTCTCCTTTCCAGTCTTCTTTTTCTGGATACATGAACTATGTCTAGTTTGAGGCAATTAAGAACATTCCTATACAAGTCTTTTTGTGGACATAAGTTTTTATTTCTCATGGGTGTATATCTAGGTGTAGAATTACTGGGTCATGGGGTAGGTGTATGTTGATTTTATAAGAAACTGCCATCCCTTTTCCCAAAGTGATTGTACCATTTTACATTCCCACCAACAATATATGAGAATTCCATGTCCTCATCAGCATTGATGGTGTCAGTCTGTGTAATTTTAGTCATTCTGCTGGATGTGTAGTATCTCATTGTGGTTTTAATTTGCATTTCCCTGATGACTTAATGATATTAAGGCTTTTTCATGTGCTTAATGGCCACTCGTATATCTTCCTTCAAGAAGTGTCTTTACAAAGCTTTTGCCCATTTTTTAAATTGAGTTTTTCTTTTTTATCGAGTTGTAAGAGTTCTTTATGTATCCTCAATACCAGTTCTTTGTCAGATATATATTTTAAAGATATTTTCTCCCAATTTGTAGTATGCCTATTAATTTTCTTAATGATATCTTTTGATGAACAGACATTTTTTACTTTTAATGAAGTCTAATTTATCAGTTTTATGGTTATTGCTTTCTGTATCCTGTCTAAAACCATTGCCTACCTCATTGGAGAAGATGTTCTCCAATTTTTTTATAAGTTTTATAGTGTAAGCTTTTAAATTTAGGTCTTTAATCCATCTTGGGTTGATATTTGTGTGTGATGTAAAGTAGAGGTCGAGTCCTTTTTTTCCATGTGGATATCCACTAGTTCCTGCACCGTTGTTGCAAAACTTTCCTTTCCCTATTGGATTCTTTCCTTTGGCTCTTTCATTGAAGGTCAGGTGACATTTAAGTATGGGTCTATTTCTGGGCTGTCTGTTCTTTTCCATCGATCTATTTGAAGAGCCTGTAGGAGTACTATACCACCTTGAAGTCAGGTCATATAAGTCCTCCAACATTATTTTTTCCAAGATAGGTTTGGACATTTTGGATTCTTTGTATTTCCTCTATAGAATCAGTTGGTCAAGTTTCTAAAGAAAAGCTGATGGGATTATGATTAGAATTGCATTCAGTCTAGGTCAGTTGGGGAAGAAGTAAGCACTCACTCTGTGCCAGACTTGTAAACTCTTAGGTTATGTCAGTGAAGAAAACAAAGGTCCTTGTCCCAGTGGAGCTTACATTCAAAAGGAATTTTGCAATTTATTTTCTTTCAGGTTGTTTAAGTTTCTGATGATTCCATTAGCCCTTTTCCTGTTTAGAAAAAAAAAGTACAGCTTACATAGAAATGGTACATTTTCTAGGATTTGACGTTTTCAGTGATCAAACTACTAAAAACAGAATGCTTTAGATAAAATGATGTCATTGGTTTTCAAAGACTATTGCTATAGTAGAGTGATGCGAACATAATAATAAAAGAGATATTTCATGGCAAACTTTGAGGGTAAGGTTAGAACTGTAATCTGCAAGTTATCTTGGGGCAAATGAGAAACGGGTTAGAAAAAAGTCCTTGAGGTAGAATTACTGAGTCAAAGAACATGAACTTTGTTCAGGCTCTTGAAACATATAGCTAAATTACTTTCTAACTGAACAAGTATTTATCTTCCATAGAAGTAAACACTGCACTCAGCATAAGGTTAGGACTGTAATCTGCGAGTTATCTTGGGGCAAATGGGAAAAGGGTTACGAAAAAGTCCTTGAGGTAGAATTACTGAGTCAAAGAACATGAACTTTGTTCAGGCTCTTGAAACATATAGCTAAATTACTTTCTAACTGAACAAGTATTTATCTTCCATAGAAGTAAACACTGCACTCAGCATTTTGGACTTCTAGAACTGTGTGACGGTTCAATCAGTTTCTGTTCTCAAAGTACTTCATCCTTTGATGGCTATTCATGAAATAATTTGAGCCCAGTGTTTGCAGTGAAACCCCTGTTAAACATCCAATGTTCAAATACAGTTCTAACACTACAAGGGGCCCAAAAAGAGGTCAGCATGGGCTAGAGTAATCAGAACTGGCACCATGGAAGTGCTAGAATCTGTGGTGGGCACCAAAGGGGATGGGCAAGTAAATAGGGAGGAGAGTATTTCAGGTTGGGCAACAGAAGTATAATGCTGTCTGTGGAGGCCAGCTTGGCTGGGGTGGAGGGTGTGGGGCCAGGCCGCAGATCCATTTCAGTGAGTCATGAAGTCTGGCTGTAGTGAGGCCTGGATGGCCAGGATTCTGGCCCTGGACTCAGAGTACAGGAAAATGCCTTTGTTGCTGATTTCCTTTTTTACAGGTGCTGGGCTGTTCTCTGGAGCTCCCTGATGTCAGCTGCCAGCAGTTTCTAGGTCAGCTGATTGGATTCTTTAATTTTTACAATGGACCTGTTTCTCTGGCTTACAAGGTATGAGGATAGTGTTAAGGAGTCTTATGTGGGGCCTCTTGAGCAAAACCGATATTGCCAAAACACAACACTTAAATCTGGGGTCTATTATACCTTACATAAACACACTATGTCCAGCAACAAAGTCAAGGACTCCTGGAGCCCCTCTTGGTTGCCTTTGTTTCTCAGTGGTGTCAGTCACATTCATTCCAAGTCTTTATTTCCATCTCCTCTCCCTGGGATGGTTGCCATCTTTTCCCCACAGGTGCACTGTGTCTGTGGTAGGTAGGGGTAGGAGGTGAGATCTCATGTGTGTAGGAATGCAAAACAGGTCCTCTCTCTGGCCAGTTTACTGTGTCAAGAATAATTTTTATGGTAGTTGGGATCCTTACCAAAGAGTGTGTCTCTTAGAATCTTAGATACTGATCTCAGGCTGTTTCTGTTTTAGAACTGCTCTCAGGAAGACCTGAGCGCCGAATGGGACACCTTCATTGAACAAATTCTGAAAAACACCAGTGATCTGCATAAGATATTCACTTCCCTCTGGAACTTGGACCGAACTAAAGTAACATTCTCATCCCCTTTATTCTTTCCATGTATAGGAGTAGAGCTTCTGGACACTCTTTTATTTCCCCCTTTAAATGAACTATGTATCGAGACAGGTGACTAGAGTGTGTCATTTTGTAGTCAGAGTGATTGTTAACATCTGCACTTAGATTTCATGATGCTCCTCACTAGCTGTCTGAGCTTGGACAAGTCATGTCCCTTCTCAGAACCTCACTCTCCTTATCCATAAAACAGTATCATAACACCTGCCTCCCAGAACTGTATTGATGGTGAAATGAGATCATACCTAAATGACACAAAGTAAATATTCAGTAAGGGTATTATTATTCCACTAATTCCCCCAAAGTGTTGAACTCAATGATCTGAAGGTCCCCTTTTCTCTCAATATTAATATTACATGATTTAATTATACTCAACGTCAAAAATGCCTAGTGCTAACATTTTAAAAACAGGGTCGCCATATCTGGGAGAGGGTGGTTGGGAAGTGTTTTGTCTCTTTGAGCCATTCCATTTGCCTTTGGCACTCAGTGAAATGTAGGCTGCCTGTGTGGCTGACCTGACCATGTGTGCTACCAGTAGCTCTGTGTCCTTGATCTTGTTGAACATCACATCCTCAGATGTGCAAAGGGAGGTGCAAGGCCATGCTCCCTGAAGAAACGACCACCTGAGTGAGGAGATGAGACCTGTTCGTGATACCAGCCTTCCGTTATGTGTGGGCTGTGTCTTAGGGCTGTCACAAGCGGTGTCCATTTAACAGGGATGTGACACTGTGACTGCTAGAAATGGGGATGGGTTTTCCCTGCTCTTGTTTGGGCTTCTGGAAGTTGACCCTCTCTTCTAACTTTACAGAATGGCTGCTTAGGATTGGGCTCTGTCTTGAGGCCATGAGAGAATAAACTCAGCTTCTTCACGTGGCAGCAGCTGCAGAGCTTGGCTCTGCTAACTCTCAGTTCTAACAGCTAACGGGTACTCGCAGGTTCTAGCTGCCAAGCAGGAAATAGAAAGAGACTTTTAGCTATTTCTGGCCATTCTTGACCAGGTTCAGATCCTTTTCTGGTAATTTTAGGTACTTTAGGCAACTGACTCCTTACAAGGAATGTGGAACTGAGGCATATTTCCCCAAGTGAAAAAGTTCGTGATGTTTTCACTTTATGTTATAGAATAGAATTACTGGAAACATCAAGCCAGACATCAAGCCACCTGTGTCGCAGTGGTGCTTGTGCTTCAGAGGAAGGGTAGAGGATGGCGGTGGGGGTGGGAAGTGGGCTTCATCTGGCACCATGCCCCGCATTTGAGACTTTCGGTTCTCCTTTCCTGCTGCCTCCTGGTCTCAGCATTGATAGTCAGAGTTTCTTAGTCAGTCTGCTTTGTCCCCTGTAAAAAGCCATATGCCCTAGTCACTGTACTTTTCAGCTTTTGAGGAGGCCTCCTGGTTCCAAGAATTTGGCATTTCATGGTGTCAGCAGTTCCGGGTATAGAGAGGACACAGATTTTACCGTGTGACAGTCTCCTTTTTCTGGGCTTTGGGTCCGTTCTACAAGGCCCCTTTCTTGCTGATTGCAAGCTTGTTAATTTGTGGGCATGCTTCTTACCCTGCACAGGTGGAGCCCCTCCTCTTGCTGAAGGCAGCCCTCATCTTACAGACCTGCCAGCGCTCCCCTCACATTCTAGCTGGCTGCATCCTCTATAAAGGACTGTGAGTAACACCAGACCTCTCTCTCCCACCCTATTTCCCTGCTGCCGACGTGATCATCCCAGTCGTGGCCACCTCCAGATCACAGGCAGGAGCTCGATCTCGGGCCAGTTTCAAGTGGGCTGGCTTGGCAAATATCAGGTAGTTTAGATTTGATTTAAGGCAGAGCAGCCTTACCGCTTCCACTCAGGCTCCTGCTGGCCTCTTGGCTGTGTCTATCTCTTGGTTGGCCTCTGAGATCTCTCGACACCTCCTCACGTAGTTGGAGGGCCGGCCTCTTCATGAGCCCGAGTGCCTCAGAGCCACTCCACGCATCTTCCAAGGCCATTCTCCTTGTAGAGGGTTTGTTCTCAGCCCAGGGGCAGGCAAGGCCCATGCTGTGTGCCCAGAGATTTCTGACAACCAGATGAATGTGCAACTGGAAAAGCTCTCCAGGTTCTTATAGGGGTTGGAGGCCTGACAGGCTGGGTTCCCAGGCCTGGCTTCTCTCTTTGCTAGCTATGTGACCTTGGACAAGTTGCTTGATACCTGTTTTCTCTACTGAAAATTGAAATACTTTGTGGAGAATGAAGTGGGATGACAGAGAAGGACCGAGCATAGTCCCCCTTTCACAATGGCTTTCAACATATTAGACCCCTCGCTCCTTTCCCCTGTTTTCATTATGATTGTTCTGAATCAGCTTGTGGTACCTCCAGGCTCAGTGGTGACAGGGTCATTAAAGATGGAATTTTGTTCTTTTTCATATTTTGTATTTCTTATTTGTTTTTAAATTATACACCTAATGCATGAACACATTCTCGTTATAAAAAATGAACCCAGAGAGAAACACACAGAGTACAATTGAGAAGTTCCCCTTTGTTCTCCCTCACTCTCAGCGCATCCCCACAGTTAGCGTTTGGAGTGCGCCCTTTGTTCTTGCTGTGCGTTTTCACACACCTATAATATGTATTTTTGATTTTGTTTATTTTTGCTATCTGTGTAAATGGGATCACATGGTTTCTTAACTTAATGTGTAGAACTGAGATTTCTTTCTCAGTCCATATTGGTTCACCTCATAGTAGCTGCACATTTCATGGTGGTATGTATACCTTGCCATGATTGATTTAACTACTCTCTTTTTGGTGGAAATTTAAATTGTTTACCCATTTTTTTAACGATTTTACCATTTTTCCCTGTGATGAACATTTTCTCATGCATACTTCTTGGTGCTAGCCAGGTCAAAGGGTTTGGACATTTAAAATTTTGATGGAAATTGTTAGAGTGCCCTCCATAAGGGCTGTACCAGTTGGGACTTTACCAGCTGTGTCCACATGATCCTGGCCAATATGGAGAGTCAGGAATCTTTTCAGTTCAGAGTCCTGCAGTGTATTTCTTCTCACGGTGTCCTTGTTCCTGTGTCTGACCTTCTAGGATTGTTAGCACCCAGCTTCCACCCTCCCTTACAGCCAAGGTCCTGCTTCATCGAGCTGCACCTCGGGACCAGGTATTGTAAAGTCCACCCACCTGGCTGGGATGCTTCTGCACCCAGGTGGCAGCTGGCGCGGCTGAGCCCATGCTAGATAGATGGGGCTGGCTTTGGGGGTGGTTGTTTCTCTTAATCTTGTTAGGCTCCTGGGTCAGTCAGTGTGATTTTCCTCAAGGGTGAAGTCATCATCAAGGCTGAAAGAAAGTGTTTCTTTCCTCATGATAGATTTGGACAGTAGTTTTTCTTCAATCCAAGTGGAACTGAATTCAACTTCTCTCAAGGGCTTTATGTCAGAGAGATGTTAGATTTTAGAGTTAGACTCTAAAGGATAACTTAAGAAATCAGAAACTCTTAAAACTTCTTCCATCTTACAGTTATTTAATTTTTTTAATGAAAAAAAGATACACATTCATTGGAATAAAATTTTCCAAAATTGCAGAGATAGTCACTGCTAGCATCTGGCATACCTCCTCTCTGTCCTTTTTTCTTTTGTTTTACTTATTTACTCTTAGCGTCCGAAGCTATAGGTTTAAATGTATCGTAAGGCTAGCTCTTTGCACTTGTAAAATCAGACATTTAAAATGATGATGCAGAGAACATTTAAGATCTTGCTCCCCAGCACATGTCCTCAGTTTATCTCAAATAACATCTTATAAAAATTTGAAAACAACAACAACAACAAATAACGATGGCAGGGCTCTCGTCTAGCTCCTTCCCCACTGTTGGCAGAGGTGTCATTGGAACAGCCTTTCTGGTAAACTATTTGATGAGTGGGTTAAGGATGCCATTTCCTTTTTTCCTAATAATTCAGCTTCTAGGATTTGATCCTCAGAAAATCATCTACCAGCTGAAAAAAGTTTATACTCAAAACTTTATCGCAACAGGATTTATGAAAGTGAAAAGTCAGATATAACTTCAGTGTCTGAGGTGGGAGTTGGCAGAGTATGGCCTGTGGGCCAGTTGCCTACCGAGTTTTATTGGACAGCTTTTGAGTTACGACTGCAAGTTGAGTAGTTGCGACAGGGAGCGTATGGCCCACAAAGCCGAAAATTTCCTGTCTCACCCTCTACAGAAAAAGTTTTACCTGTTGCTAGTCTAAAGTAGAGACATGATTGATTTACCTCCACCACTTTAAACTTCATAAAATTTTAGTCAGCCGTTTAAAATGGCCAAAGATATTTTAGTGACAGGATGTGTATGTTATTCTTTAAGCAGAAAAATAGGATTTTATATAATATGGTCTTAAAGTATTTTTAAAAATGCATAGACTTAAAGGAAAATATGCCCAATAATAATAGTATTAACTTGTGGATAAGGGAATTATATGTGTTTTTTTTTAAAAAAACATTTTGTCTAAGCTTACATAAAGAAAACAGGCCATATCACTTCATAGGAGTGAAAGTCACTTCATAGGAAAGTCATTTTGGCTAGAAGAGCAGTTTTTGTTTTTGTTTTATTGTGGTGGGCCCTTTTGGAATCTTTGGGTTGAGAAGGCTGGAAAGCTCTTTTGAGAAAATTGTCAGGTTTCTCACCTTGATTGTGAACCAAAATAAACGAGAGATCTGGCATAGTATTTTGTTTAGATCAAATCCATTATCATGAGGGTCGCAGGACCTTCACACTGTTATAACGGAATTCGTGCGAGTTCTGCGTTAGGGCTATTCTAGGAGACAGGTTCTCTGAAAGTATAAATGAGAACATGAATCCTCACTTTTATTCCCAGAGGAGAGAAACTGAGACATCAGAATGGAAAGCCTGATGTGCGTTGGGTGGAGCTGCTGCCCTATAGCCTGTATGGGCCCAGCTTCGCACCTTCCTCCAGCCTTGGTGGTGAGCAGGCAGTTTGGGGGAACCTCTCTTCCACTTGCTTTGCTCTGGGCATGTGCTGGGGACAAGCGTTCTGGGCCTGGCTAAGTTTTATGAGCAGCAGATGGCATAGCGCAGTCCTGATGGTCAAGTCAGGAGGAGAATGTGGTGTCCAGTGCCAACTCCTGTATGTGTTTATTTTCAGAGAATACCTACAGGAGGGGATGCCCTGCAGGAACGTGGTAAGTAGTGAGGTACATTGTTGCATCTTGAGAATGCAGTCTTTTATGCTGCCTGTCCCTATACAAATCCTGTGGAGGCGGAGTCACCCCACGTGGTTATTTCATCTGCTCATAAGATTAGGAAAGTAGAGCTTCAACTACAAAGTTACCCATTAAATTCATAATTGTAAAGCTCGTGACTTTAGGTACACTTTTTTTAAATTAAATTTATTGGGGTGACATTGGTTAATAACATTATGTAAGTTTCAAGTGTACAGTTCTATAATATATACTGCATTGTCTAGGCACACCTTTTAAATCCCCATTTTCAGAGCCTCCTTAACTCACTCTAATGAGACTGCTCAAACAAGTTCCAGAGGGTCCTCATTAGGAGGAGGCACGATAGATGGCAACTGCCAGAAACACCTTTTGCAGGATGTAGGGGCATCCCCCAGAGGGCTATTTTGTGTTCTTTTGAAGCATAAGTTGGGGCACATCCCTTTTGTCAGTGGGAAGTACTTTTTTCCAGCTTTTGTCTTTTTTTAAAGTGCCACTAAATTTTTCCCCACCAATCGTCAGCCTTCTCCACAGTAAAGGTGCCCACATGAGTTCTTCCTTGCTGATCACAGGAATTGTGGCAGTTTTATGTTTTTGTTCTGGACTGAGGAGTGCATCACAGCTCTGCTCTCTGAGCTGGCGTGTAGGTTTTATGCATCACCCCAAGAACCGTTACTGCCCTCTGTCTTCTCTGGCCCAGGGATGGGCCCTCTCCTTGTTGCTTTGTGATTCTAGGAGTAGCTCTCCCCCCAAATGTCCACATCATGCCTGTTTTTGTGACGGAAGAGGAAGCCATCAGTCTCCATGAGTTCCCAGGGGAGCAGATGACTAGGTAAGGGGACACGGGGGTTTCATCTTAAACCATGCTTTAGGGGTGCCCTCACATGAGTTTATCCAAACAAACATCTCATCCTTCCTTAACTCTGTCTTTTCCGTGCTCTGACCTGGAAGGAGCTTCTGGAATTTCAGCACAGAGATAAAAGGCAGCCAGTATAGTGATATGAGGGTGGGTTTCAAATCCCACATCCGTTGCTTATCAGCTGTGTGACCTTGGGCAAGTACATTCCCTACCTGAGCCTCAACTTTTTCATCTGTAAATTGTACCCAGTAACATCTACTTCATGGATTCATTGTGAAAGTTGAAACTAGTGTATGCGTAGCACCCATTATAGGGTCTGGCTTACAGTAGACCTCCAAATGTGGGTGACTCTTACCCAGTGGGCCCTGCTGTTTTCAGCAGGTGATCCTGCCATCACTGTGTGAAGCCTTGAGAGCCAGGCATGGCCTTATTTTCATTCCTGTGGTTTGACCATGATGGCCTCTTGGGCTCTGTGGTGTCATGTACCCACTTGTCTAATAGCCCTGCTTTTTAAGGAAGCAGTGCTTTAGTCTCCCTTGAGGCGGGGCACTGGCCTTGCAATCACTCAGTGTGTCGCTCCTCACATGTTCTCACTTGTTTGCCAGCTCTCCTGCATCTCCAGCCAGACTCCAGAAGCCCTCGGCCCGACACCCTCCAAAGGGTGCACTGGAAGAAGACACCAGCAGGCATGAGGAATCCATGGCCTGGACATGGGCGACCACCCCGGAGTCCAGGCCCCCTGACGGAGGTTGGCCAGATGGCACTGGAGAGAATGGACCCTTTTCTAATTGTGATCTAGAGAGCATCCAGCCTGCAAAACTACACAGCACTGCCAGTGACGAGGATTCTGGTCTCAGCTGCTCCCAGGTGAAGGAACTTGGTTTGCCCAGGGGGAAAGAGGAACTGGACTTGTCTGAAATTCACATTCCGGAAGCTCAGGAAATGGGAACGTCCCCAGGTTATTTTGCCTTCCCGAGTGCACGTGTCCCAGATGGCGACGGTCTTCGTTGCAAGGAATCTGTCAGCGACTCTGGCAACCTGGAGCCCAAGTTGTCTGAGGCCCCGCCTGTGGGCACAGCCATCAGTGGCAGCCTCCCTCCTTCCACTCCTGACATGCTCACCCAGAATGGAGCCCTAGAGCAGCAAGGAGACCTTCCTGGGGACAGCAGCCAAGCCCTCATTCCCAGGGAAGACTTCCTCCCCAGTAGGACAAGTGGGCCATTGTCACCGCCTCGCCTAGGTTCGAGGCAGAGAGGAACTAAGCTTCTTGTGAGGGAACAAGGCGTGGACCAGTGTGTGGATGGGGTTCATGAGAACCGCTCAGCCCCTGGCCCAGAATGCCACTCAGGCTCCGCAGACTCTCCGGGCGACGGCCCCTGTACAGACAGCACTGACTCCACGTTGACCTCAGCATCCTATGGAGGACTCGTGCGCATGAACCTCTACACTCACAGTGTCAAAGGGCTGCTGCTGTCCCTGCTGGCTGAGGACCCGCTGCTGGGAGACAGTGCAGCCATCGAGGAGGTGGTGAGTTTGCTCAGACCTGTGCCAGTCCCTATGGAGCCCACTCTTCCCTCTTGGGAACATGGACAGGCAGGCAAGGTGCTCTCCTAGGGGACAAGGGCCTTGCCATGTGACCATGTGCAAAAGGCCTTGTTTATATGGTGGGGATGGTGTTAGTACCTACCTCCCTGGCTTTGTGAAGGTGAGGCGAGTCCAGTGAAGAGCTTGTCTTGGGCTTTTGTGCTTCTTCCAGTTTCTTGGAGCATAGGCCTCGGGAAGGGGAAGATGAGTTGGAGTCTTGGTTTTGGCCATGTGACTGTGCGCACAGGCCTTTTCCTCTGAGCCTCTGGTTCCTCTTCAGCAGTGTGGGCCTGGTGACAAGTGCTGCCCTTTCAGACACAGTGTGATCACGCAGGCAGTGACCAGATGCACGGGATTATTATGCTGTCACCACCACTAATGGCCTCTCTTCTGAGCCTGGACAGCTCTAGGATCTGTGCTGGCTACAGTCTGTACTCTGTAAGTGTCACAGCCAGGGCTGGGAGTTCTCCGGGAAGCGCCTTCCCCCTCGCCACCATCCTGCTTCCGTCCACAGCCCCTCCACTGTACCGGGGTGATCTGGAGCTCCTTCCTAGAGGGCCTGGGACATCTGAAATCCTAACTAGCTCCAGAAGGCTCCTCTTAACCCATTCCAGCTTCTTCCCCACTTCCAGTGGTACCTTCTCTGGGGCCTACCCTAGAGATGGGGTTGCTATAGTAACAGCCTTGCTGTAGTTGGCAGAAAAGTGGTAGCAGTAAGAACAGCAGGTTGAAATTGCTGCAGGGCGAATGGTTTCCTGGGGCTTGCCTTGTTTTTGTTCTTAAATCTAAGTTATTCTAAGCCTGTGTCATTAGCATGCAAGGCTTATGACCCTCCATAAATGAGCTAGTCTTTGGAGCATAGAGGAAGAGGGATGGCAGTATCCTTTGCTCAGAGCCCAGGCCAGAGATTGCTTCTCTCCAGATCTGCCTTGCTTATTTCTCTCTTTTCCACAAGCCAGTGTCACGTGTCCCCAAGTGGTGGCCTGTTTGTTTCCCTACCCTCCTTCACCAGAGCTCTGAGTGACTTCTCCACTTCTTTCTTATAACAACACAGGGACCCAGGATTGCAGTTTTACATATCTCTTCTACCTCCCTAGGCCTTGGTTTTCATGGTCTCTTCTGCTTAGTGCTGAGTTGTAGACATGATATTTTGAAGGCCCACTCTTTGGATGCAAAAAAGTAAATACGATATCTTTCTTTTACCTTCCTCCCAAAAAGAAAAAGAAAAAATAATTCAGGCTGCAGTGGAGAAGAAAGCGAATTAAAATATATTCTGTACATTCACTATGTGCTATCTACTTTATATCTTTTTTTAGCCAGCCCTTAGAACAATTCTGGGGGTAGGCGTTGTAACTCCTGTTTTACCAGCAAGAAAACTGGGCCTAGTTGAGATAAAGACTTAAAGCAAGTATTAGGTCCAGAATTCTTGCTTGTTTCTCATCCTCCTGCTCCAGCCTCTCCATCCCCACTGATCTGATCTCGGAATGGTAGGGAGGAAGGTGTAGAAAAGGGGAGATGCCCTGCCTTCTGTGGCTCTTGATATGGACCTGTCACATGGTCTGTCACATGGTCTGTCACCGCAGGGCCACGCTGAGTATGGGTTTTCATGTAGGGTAGGGTTTGGTGTATTAGGTCCAGAATTCTTGCTTGTTTCTCATCCTCCTGCTCCAGCCTCTCCATCCCCACTGATCTGATCTCGGAATGGTAGGGAGGAAGGTGTAGAAAAGGGGAGATGCCCTGCCTTCTGTGGCTCTTGATATGGACCTGTCACATGGTCTGTCACATGGTCTGTCACAGCCTATCCATGCTGAGGGCAACGGCCACTATGGGTTTTCATGTAGGGTAGGGTTTGGTCTTGTGTAGGTCTCAGGAAAGAGAATGCAGCTTAATGGAAGAACTCATCTTTTCTAAAGAGAGTAGGGGCTAATTTTGATCAGCCTTCTGTTTTATAATTGAGAGAGACCGTTTGTTGCCTTTTTGTCCCAGACCTGATTTCCTTCCCAGCCTCTGCTGCTCTCTAGGAAAGCAAGGCCCCTGCAGAATGGTAAACTACAGCTCAGATGTGACAGTGAGCATACCCCGCTTAAAAGGGCTTCTTGTTGATGTTACACACTGCCAAGGCACCCTGGTGTCATTTTACCATCTTATCTTTCATGGATCAACTACTACGTCTTTATGTTTGCCTAGGTTGTGGAGTCATAGAGGGGATGAGCAGGGAGCAGCCAGGAGAGATTGGAATTAGAATAGGCTCAGAGGGAACAGAATAGGCTCACACCAGGGGGCAGCATAGAACCACTGACAGTTTCCTGCTCAAAACCCAAGGTAGTCTCACTGACCTTCAAATACAGTGATCACATCAGTTATTTATGGTATGCTAGGACATTGAGCTATCTCTTTACAGTAGATGAGCTTGAGTTTAGTTCGAGTGCTATCATAAAATATGACAATGAACCCCTCCCTCATGAAATGGTGCTTCCGAGTGAATGTATGTTACTGCATCGTTTCTTCTGCACCTTATGGCACACTTTGACATTTGAGCCACTCGCTTTGCTGTGGACTAGAAGCCGGAGGGAGGATCCAGGAATTAGCTCCAGCTCCATGTCTCGTAAGGCTGTGGTGAGGATTGAATACATAGTGACATATCCAGGGGTTGGCAAACTTTTAATGTAAAGGAACACATAGGTATTTTCTACTTTGTGCAACTACTTGTCTCTGCTGTTGTAGTACAGAACCATAGATAACACGTAAATAAGTGGCGTGGCTATGTTCCAATAATACATTATTAATGAACACGGAAATTGGAACTTTATATAATTTTCACATGTCACAAAATTATTCTTTTAAGTTTTTTTCCTAACCATATAAAAATACCAAAACCATTCTTAGCTCTCAGGCTATACAGAAACAGGCAATGGACTGGATTTAGCCCACAGGCCATAGTTTACTGACCCCTGGTATGTATGAAAGCACCTGGTTACCAGTAAAATATTGTCCACATTATCTGCTGTAATATTTTGTGACTGTATTTATGTCTAAGTGATTTTTATCTTGAGTACAAGTTAGGCAGAAGATCCGAGAAGCAGAGTTCAGTGCCAACAGAGAAAACTCGAGTTTTGGCATGTCTCGTTCTCTGTTCCCATCTTCCCTTCCTCTGAGCACCGGCCGAGGATAGGGAGGACGTCTGTTACCAGGTTCCCCAGGTCCAGAAGCTTCTGGTGAAGCTGTGGGTTGACTTTATGGTGAACGCTGTGGAGGCACGCGCACGCGCACATTTGTTACCCTCTGTGTTGGTGAGGCTGTACCAGCGACCTGAACAGGGGATCCTGCGCATGTCTTTGATTTGACCATGCCCCTCAGTTTAAACCAGATAGCTCAGAAGTTGAATGTGCTTGCCATGGGATCGGCTCGTTTATCTGTTCGTTTAGTAGATATTCCTTGAGCACCTACTAGGAGCCTGACACTCTGCTAGGCATTGGGATACAAGGATGAGTCCATAAAATAAAACCTTGTATGTCAGACCTATTGCTTTTGAATGCCATTTCTAAGACATTCAGATAGAAAAAGTAACGTAAGCCTAGTACACTACCAAAAATCACACTTAAGCTTCATGACATTCACCTCAGAAACATTCTGTTTGCATCTTTGTACGTTTTGTGTGCACTTATTTTATTTACAAAGCTATTGAAAAAGTTATCAGTCCACAAAGTCATATGTGCTTATTAAAGAGATATCACTTCTTTTTTCTTGACTTTATAAAAATGCCTTCCCTTGGGGTAGCACTTCAGAGTTTAGAAAGGATTTTTATGTATGCTATTTCACTTAATCCATTTAGCAGCCCTGTAGTATCCCCATTTTGCAGATGAAAAAATAAAAGAGAGAGAGGTGCAAAAAATTCAGTAACTTGCCCCTGGTCATCTGGCTAGGACTAGGCAGAGACAGGATGTCCTTCGTCTGGGAGCCATCTGCTGCCTGGAAACAGTGGCCTTCTTATGGCTGAAGCAGCCCCAGGGGAGCTGCAGGAGTCCCCGTTGCAGCCTGAGTCCATCAGGATGTGATCTGTGTACTCGGTCAAGCCCAGAGTGGAGCTAAAGAATACCGCAGAGCCATTAGAGTATGACCTTGTAAGAGAATAGTTCAAGGATGAAGAAAGCAATGCATGCTCTATCATTAGGTTACGAAACTAGTATCAGTCTTTATGGTTTGATCCTATTTTTATTTTATAAGAAAGCATCATATTAAATGGTATAGTCCAGTGTTCCTAGCTGTACCTGCATATGACTCTTCCCTGGGAGGATTTTTAAAACACACTGCTTAGGCCTCACCTCCTGGACAGTCTTCTCAACTGGGTTCCTCCTCAGAACCACAGAGCACAGAAAACCATTTGACTGACATGTCTCAGACCTTCCGAGCATGGTGCATGGCTGGTATCATCCTAGCTGCACAGTGGAGAACTTCTCGGCCCAGGCCCAGTTGAGAAGCATGGTGGGGAAGATGGGAGACCTGGCCAGCTGTGCCGTAAAAACGTGTGGCCTGGGCGGGAAAGTCATGGCTCGAAGGAGAGGTACCAAGGGGCTAACAGTGGCTATTTCTGGATAGTGAGATCGTGGGCCATTTCTCTACTTTTTTCCTTCTTAAGTTCATTTTTCTGCTCACCACTATTTTCTGAGTTTTCTACAATTTAAAAATGCATTAGAACATAAGGGCAGAAGTTAGTACTTATCTATTAACAGGTAAAAACAGGGTCCTAGTCCTTTTTGCTAAGTCAAGTAGCCACGCACATAAGCTTAGGATGATTATTTGCTAAGTCTGTGGCCTGCTGAGTTTAATTTGCAGCTGTGCCCCTCTCTCGGCCCCTCTGCAGTACCACAGTAGCCTGGCATCCCTGAACGGGCTGGAGGTCCACCTGAAAGAGACGCTGCCCAAAGACGAGGCTGCCGCCTCCGGCAGAACGTACAACTTCACGCATTACGACCGCATTCAGAACGTGCTGACAGGTAAGGAACCGGCACTGCGCACAGAAGGATGGGCCCGGGGCACCTGAGTGGAGGTTAGAACTGGGGTCTGCTGCACCGTGAGTGTTGGTGTTCTCCCCAGAGTTGTCTGACATGCAGTTAGTTAGGATGTTGCTTTCTAACTTGGAGCCCAGCTCCCACTGCATCTAAAATTTGCTTGGCAAACACTTCCTTGCTCATTTGTGATTTTTTTGGCTGTTTCTCCAACGTTATGAGAGAAGTACACACATGTTCAAATATCTGTGATAAGGTCTGCCTTAAAATTTTGATACTCATGCGCAAATCCGGTGATGCTCATTTCTGGGGACGGTGTGTACTCTGCTGTGTGGTGGCAGCTGTCAGGGCCCAGCACCCCGAGCAGGCCTTTGTCTCCCCTTCAGCACCCGCACTCATGGCTGTGAGCCATGTTCTGTCATAGTTGACAGAGCTGAGTTGGGGGGCGGGGGTGAGGTAAGGAGTCTGATACTCATAACTTCTGTCCTATTCTGGAAGCAAACCTGCCACAGGTGGCCACACACCAGGATCGCCGCTTCCTCCAGGCTGTCAGCCTGATGCATTCTGACTTTGCCCAGCTGCCCTCACTGTATGAGATGACCGTCAGGTAAGCCTTCCTCTGAGTCACCCTCACAGTCCCTGTACCAGGAACCAGCTTCTCAGGGATCTGGGGAAGAGACCTATTCATAAGTCAGTGAGGAACGTTGCAGTTAAAGAAGACATTATTCACTCCTGTGGCTGCCATTATCTACTCTCATTCTTTCCTGTGCCGTGTATTTTCTGGGTCCCATTCTGGGGCTCAGACCTGCTTTAGACAGTGGGGTTCAACAGCGAGGAAACCAAAGGTCCTCACACTCAGAGCTTTCATCCATTACTGGAGAAGGATGGTTTTTGTTTCCTTGTCATAAACGATGCTGAAGCGACAAGTCATGAGTGCTCATTATAAAAACATTCAGATTTCTCCCAGATCTATAAAGTAAAACATTTCCTCCCCTGACCCATCGACACCTGAAAGATACCCACAGTTAATAGTTTGGAGTATATTACTCCAGGTTTTATTTTTTTGGGTTTTCATTTCTTGTATATGAAACAGATTATTAGTATTTTTATTTTAATTATTTTAATAGTCTTCTAGAAAAAAGAATCATATTGATGTATTGTTTTATACACTTTTTTTTAATTCAATTGCATATCTTGACTGTCTCCATGTCAGTAGATGTAGATCTGCTAATTATTATTATAATTTACATTCATTATTTAACCAAATGAATTCTACTTTTTCTCTCTACATGCCTCTCTGTGAAACCAGTAGCAGAAAATAAGGCAAGTTAGTGGGTCAGAGGGGAGTGCCTGCTATGTGTATATTATCCCGTTTAGTCCTTGAAATGATTTGGGCAAGTGCATTTTTTATCTTCATTTTGCAGATGAGGAAATTGAAGCACAAATAAGATAAGCGACTTGCCCCAGGGTCATTATTAAGCGGCAGAGTCCAATCTCTCTGACTCTATAAATGCATGTTCTTTCCACATGTTTCTGGTTTCAGGAGGGCAGTGTGGTCAAGAGGGAGGAGCGTGGGCTCTGGACTCACATCGATGCACTCTAGAACCCGGGCTAGCATGGTGACAAGGTTCTGATGCCTGCTGCCTGCCACACTGGAGGGCCAGGCGTTTCAGCTGCCCAGCGTCATCTCTAGCCAATATTTCAATATCTTTCCGCAATAAAAGTGTCTTCTCTGGCTTTAAGTCAGAGCTGCCCCAGGCCAGCAACCTAGATGTGGTTTGCATCTATAATCACCGGTTTGAGAACTGGTTGTGTTGGGGTTGGGGTGTGTATTTTGTGATTGATGGAAATAAGTAAAATGGCCCTGCAGTATTTCACCTTCCTTGGAGCTGAGAGTGTTTTAGCACTGGGATGTCTAGCTTATTTTAATAGTAGTAGAAACAATGGCTATGATTTCTTAACTACTCACTGTGTGCTATGCAATTTATATGTATTTTTACATATTCCTATTCATTTAATATCTTAAAATATCTCAATGAGGGGTTATACTATTGTCAGATCCACTTTACAGGTGAGAAAGCTGGGGATCAGAAAGGCCAAGTAATTTAGCCACAGGCACAGAACAGGGCTGGGATTAGCTTGTAGCCACCAGGCCGCAGTACCCCCTCTCCATGGCTATAATGACTTGTCCATGACTTGTCCTGCTGGATAGTGAGTGGCATAAAACACTTAATACTGGTGGGCCCTTGCTGCTCCTCGAGGCCCCAGAAGGAGAAGGTGGAAAAGGATGGAATTCCCCTCCCACCTTGCCTGGAAGGAGAGACCTGGGTGAGGGGGGTCTTAGTGGTTCTTGACTCTACCTTCTTATACTAGATTTGGGGACACTGAGGTCTAATGAGGAAATAGTTAGAGACAGGCAGGATCGAGAAGCCATCTGGTTACCTGGCCCCAGAGTTGGTTCTTCCCAAGTGGGTCCTTCTTTGAACCAGACCCTCATCCCTCCCTCTTCTGTCCCCTCACTCCCTACACTGATCTAAACGCCCTGGTATGTGTAGAGGACTAGACCCCTTCCTTGGACACTGTCAGTGCTCGTCAGAGGCCTGACAGCATCACCCGCCTCTGGGCCTCAGAGTCCTCATCCATCAATTGGGATAACACCACTACTGCATAAGGCTGTGTGAGGAGTCAGCCAGGCTGCTATTATATCAATAAAATGTGTATCGGTTCATTTATTCAGTTATAACTTCAGGCCCTATGGCTGTGGCCAAATGAACAGTCCCAGCATCCAGTGAGTTGAAAGGGAAGGGAACATGGTTATTGGCACTGAACCTGAAATTCAGTTGAATAAGTAGAACCTGGAGCTGTGACAGCTGCATGCACAGCATCTGACATGCAGGGCCAATCTCAAGTGCCTCTCGACGTCTCTTTGTGGTCTGAGATTTGCACAGGCAGCGTCGGACTGTTGTCTTCTCTCTTCCTCCCACAGAAATGCCTCCACAGCTGTGTACGCCTGTTGCAACCCTGTCCAGGAAACCTATTTCCAGCAGCTGACATCGGCCACGCGGAGCTCTGGCTTCCCAAGTCCCCAGGACAGTGCCTTCAGCCTCCCAGGCAAAGCCAAGCAGAAGCTGCTGAAGCACGGGGTGAACTTACTTTGAACTGGGCTGCAGTGGGAAGGTCATCAGCCCTGGAGACGACTATCAAATCGAACACCAGCAAAGGAAGCTCTGTCATTTTTAAATGAGAAAAGCCCTTCTATTTTATTTTCCTGGGAATATTCTCTTTTTCAGGAATGTAATGGTGTTTGAGTGTTTGGTACACCATTTGCGGATTGGGGTGTGAGGGGGCAGTTCTTCAGGTCCACAGACCTAGAGTGTGTAATAAAGACTTGTGACACTGGCAGCGTTGGGGCAGGACAGCACTCTGGCTCCTTCTACCGAAGGGGTACGAGGCCAGTTAGTTTCCTGAGGCACCTGACATCTCCAGCTGCTGTCGCATCTTAGCCTTACCTTGTACCACACAAATTCATGGTGGCATTTTTTGTAGAACCTAATTATCTCTAGTCTAGTGTTTGTGCAGCCCTGTGTCCAGGAGGAGGTACGAGGTGTGACTGCACAGTGAGGAGATGGGCTTGTTACCCAGCAGACTGGAACACCCACTCTCAGGTGGTTGTTGGCGTGGGTCTCCCGGGTGGGCTGGATACTTAATGCTGGGAACAGTCAGGGAGGCTGGAACCACCTTGTTGGGATTCTGGAACTGGATTCAACACCAGGAGCCTATTCTTTGAAATACCTGCAGTGGGAGCAAATCTTGATAACATGGAAAGGAGTTGGGAGTTTAGTGATCACCAGAAGCCCTGGAGCATTGGGTGGTAACAGGCCAGGCTGTGTGCCCTTGGTTAGAAATGGGCTGCGCAGCTGGTTTCTCTTGAGCGTGTCCCCAAATGGAAATTTCCAAAATGTTTTGGGGCAAAGGCAGAACTGTGTTTTTCAGCAGTAGCTTTGTGCAAGGGAACCACATTCCTTTGTGTGTTTCTGAGCTGGTGTAGTTACACCAGTTCTATGACATTACAGTCAGACATGTCAGAATAATACGGTACGGACCACAGAATGAAAATATTTACCAAAATCTTAACTGAACGTTTTGCTGCAAGTACTGAGATTTCATTTGAATACCACAATGTTAATAATTCAATGTCAGTGAACAAATATGTTTATGACATGGTCTTTTTCTTGAAAAAAGTTTCCAAGGACTAAAATAAAATAGCCAAAAATGCTACTGAGTTCTGAGTAATTAGTGACATCTCTAGTGACAAAGTTAAGGTAGAGATAT